CAGAGAAGCTGAAAAAGTATTTCATAAAATTCAGCATTAAAAACCTCAATAAAGGGCTTCCCTGGTGGCGCAGTGGTTGAGAGTCCACCTGCCGATGCAGGGGACACGGGTTCATGCCCCGGTCCGGGAAGATCCCACATGCTGCGGAGCCGCTGGGCCCGTGAGCCATGGCCGCTGAGCCTGCGCGTCCAGAGCCTGTGCTCCGCAACGGGAGAGGCCACAACAGTGAGAAGCCTGCGTACCGCAAACAAACAAACAAACAAACAAAAAACCCTCAATAAAATAGGATTAAATATTTCCTTAACATGGCAAAATACATCTATCTCAGCCCAAAGACAACACGAAGTGAAAACCTTCTACAAATAATAAGAAAATTTAGTAAGATATCAGTGTATAAAATTAAAATAGAGAAACCAATAGCTTTAAAAGATATAATGGAAGAAATTACCTCCATTTAATTATCCAAAAAACAAAGATAAAGTTTCTAGGAATAAACCTAAGAAATTAACATCTATTTGAGAGACATTTTTAAATACCCTAAAAAATTCATATAAGAAAACGTGAACAAATGGAGAGGTTACCGCGTTCTTCACCAGGAAGACTCAACATCACAGGACACAGTCTCCCCAACCTGTTTCATAACTTAATGCAACCACAACAAAAATAAGGATGGATTGAGGCTTTTCTGGATACTTGATTTTGAATTTTTTTAACATCTTTATTGGGGTATAATTGCTTTACAATTGTGTGTTAGTTTCTGCTTTATAACAAAGTGAATCAGTTATACATATGTTCCCATATCTCTTCCCTCTTGCGTCTCCCTCCCTCCCACCCTCCCTATCCCACCCCTCCAGGTGGTCACAAAGCACGAAGCTGATCTCCCTGTGCTATGCGGCTGCTTCCCACTAGCTATCTGCCTTACGTTTGGTAGCGTATATATGTCCATGCCTCTCTCTCGCTTTGTCACAGCTCACCCTTCCCCCTCCCCATATCCTCAAGTCCATTCTCCAGTAGGTCTGTGTCTTTATTCCTGTCTTACCCCTAGGTTCTTCATGACATTTTTTTTTCTTAAATTCCACATATATGTGTTAGCATACGGTATTTGTCTCTCTCTTTCTGACTTACTTCACTCTGTATGACAGACTCTAGGTCTATCCACCTCATTACAAATAGCTCAATTTCGTTTCTTTTTATGGCTGAGTAATATTGCATTGTATATATGTGCCACATCTTCTTTATCCATTCATCCGATGACGGGCACTTAGGTTGTTTCCATCTCCTGGCTATTGTAAATAGAGCTGCAATGAACATTTCGGTACATGACTCTTTTTGAATTTTGGTTTTCTCAGGGTATATGCCCAGTAGTGGGATTGCTGGGTCATATGGTAGTTCTATTTGTAGTTTTTTAAGGAACCTCCATACTGTTCTCCATAGTGGCTGAACCAATTCACATTCCCACCAGCAGTGCAAGAGTGTTCCCTTTTCTCCACACCCTCTCCAGCATTTATTGTTTCTAGATTTTTTGATGATGGCCATTCTGACTGGTGTGAGATGATACCTCATTATAGTTTTGATTTGCATTTCTCTAATGATTAATAATGTTGAGCATTCTTTTGTGTGTTTGTTGGCAGTCTGTATATCTTCTTTGGAGAAATGTCTATTTAGGTCTTCTGCCCATTTTTGGATTGGGTTGTTTGTTTTTTTGCTATTGAGCTGCATGAGGTGCTTGTAAATTTTGGAAATTAATCCTTTGTCAGTTGCTTCATTTGCAAATATTTTCTCCCATTCTGAGGGTTGTCTTTTGGTCTTGTTTATGGTTTCCTTTGCTGTGCAAAAGCTTTGAAGTTTCATTAGGTCCCATTTGTTTATTTTTGTCTTTATTTCCATTTCTCTAGGAGGTGGGTCATTGAATTTTTTATTGTGAGATGACTAGACAATTTGATTCGAAAGTTCAAATAGAAAAAGAAACAAGAATAGGTAGGCAAATCCAGTGTTAATCATTAGACCATTGCTGTGCTGGAAGTATGTGGTAAATTAGTATGTAGTAAAGGTGACATCTCAGATCAGTAGTGAAAAAGCAACCGCGGGATAAACAGCATTAGGACAACAGAGTAGCTATCCAACAAAATAAATGAGAAAAGATAAAAGCTGCAACCATGTCTGACACTGTATGTCAAAATGAGTTCCAAATGAGTCAAATATTTAAATGTTAAACATAAACTCAGAAAAGTACTAACAGAAATCATGGGCAAATTCCTTTATAACTTTGCAGTCGAGGAAAGACTCTTCTAATTAAAACTGGAAATCCAAAAGCAGTAAAAGAAGGATTTATAAATTCAACTACACAAAAATAAAAACTTCTGCATAAAAGAAAACTACCATCAGCAAATTAAGAAATAAGGGAAGACAATGAGGAAAAAATATATATGTGTGTGAATATATATATATATATATACTTCCTATCACAAGCTATATCCTTAGTATATAAAGAGCCCCTAGAAATCAACAAGACAAAGATCTGCAACCCGACAGATAAATGGACAAAACCTCTATATAGTCCAGGGGAAAAAAATACAAACAGACGCTCAAACTTACTATAAAAATACAAAACCTATTATATTGGCAAAAGTTCTTTCCCGGAGCCAGCCAGAGAAGAGATCAGAACTGTCAATCGAACCCAGTGGACTTGGGAACTTTGTGTTGGTCCCACAGAGGCTGAAGTTCCAAACCCTGCAGGGCTGACAGGCCACAGCCCACGGCCTGGCCACGCTTGGTTTCCTCCATCCTCAGGTGGACCCGCAGGCCTCACTCAGCATCCAGTCCAGGCCGAGCGCTTGGGTCAGACAGGAGCCTCCCGTCCAGCCACCTCGGCCACGGTGACCGTGCTGCTGCCTTTGTCCACTGGGTCCCATTCCCGTCTCACACGCGCTCACCCCGCGTGGGGTCCCTCTGGCACCTGCAGCATCTTCTGCCCTTGTCCTTCACTTTGGGGTCATGCTCGGCCCACTCTCTGAGGTTGAAACACACCCCGGCTCTGGCTGACCGCTGCCAGCCCTCTGCAGGGTGTCCCCGCCCCCCGCCCCGGCGGCTGCCCCGCCGGCTCCCCTCCTGCCCACTGAGGCCTTGTGGGCGCGGTGCCCCCACACAGAGGGAGCAGCAGGGCCTGACCTGTCCTCCACCCACTTCAGCCTCCACCTGGACCCGAGGACGCGGCGGCCCCACAGGTGCTCGCAGGGTGAGCAAGGAGTCTGGGGAGACGCTGCCTCAGTGAGCGGCCGATTGGTCTGAAAGTTGGTGTGAAAAGTGCCTCACCACCACATCCTCAGCAATCAGACCTCCTGTCACGAATGCCCTAGAAAAGACGGGACGGTGGGGGTAAGTTAGCCGCTTCTTCTCGGACCCGACGGGCGGCGTCCCGGTAGCCACGGCAGAGCTGTCACGCGGGCGGAGGGCGTGCCTGGACCGCTGGGTTCACAGAGCACCTGCTCTGCACGAGTGACAGCTGAGAACGTGGCAACCTCTGTGGCGACGAACACCGTGGAGTCGGCAGTGCCGGCGCCGGCCTCCAGGGGGCGTCCCTCTCGGGATGGAGACGCCCTCTCGTCAGTCCCTGGGGCCTCGGCCCTCCGATGCTCGTCGGGCGCCGGCAGAAGGTGGAGGAAGCAGCGGGGACTCGGGCGAGCAGAGCCGGACTGGCAGGGCCTCGGTGGCCCCGGGAGGCAGCGGGGGGCAGCGTAGGGGGGTACTCTGAGGACGTGTTACAAACACAGCGACGGGGCTGGACGGGCGGCAGCCATCTGGACACAACAGGCTTTACAGGCAGTGACACCCCAGCGTTTGTCTCGCCGCCGCAGCCCCACCGGGGTCTCTCTCACACCTTCTTGCGTTCCTGCCGCGCCACGATAAACAGCACGAAGCAAATGGGCCTCGACTGGTTCCCAGGTGCCCCCAGCACCAGCCCGTCCTGAATCCCCACTTGTGGAGGCGATGGCCAGGCTAAAAGGGCCACAGGGCTCCCCCGACCCGTAAGTAACCGAGGTCGACCGTCCACAGAGAAAGAACGGGAGGATGGAGCCGGCTCGCTCCCGTGTCCTGAGAGGGGCGGCGGCAGGTTTCCTCGCCCCCGGCTCCGGGGCAGTGCTGTCCTCCGCTGACCGATGCCCTCACCTCCTCCAAGCCCTGGTCCCACATCCCCACCCTCAGCCCCTCCTGCGACCTCTCCGCTCCTGGAAGACCCATTCTCTTCTTGCTTCACCGAGGGCATTTAGCTGCTTTGTGTCCATTTCTTCAGCTTCCTTCCTCCCTGAAACCCTCTGCACCATGTTTTCCCTCCCTCTTCTCTGAAGTCAGGCGGCCTCACGCAGGGCTCCGCACACCTGTCCATCTCACCTGCTCCAGGATTTTCTCCTCCTTCAGACACTCTGAGTCCTGAGACACTCTGAGTCCTGAGATGCACTGGTCTCCCCGGCCCTCTGGGCTCTCCAGCAGAGCCCCTGCCAGGCCCCTCCCCTTCTCTGCGAACCCCCGGTGACACAGTCTGTGGTTCCTGCCTCCTGCCCCCTCCCGCCCACCTGACCCCGATTGCCAGAGCCGTGGACGTTCCCCAGCCTCGTCCCGAGACATTTCTGGGGTCATGTCTTCCTCTGAACCCCCGGGGCCTCCCTCCTGCACTCGGCTGGATCCTTCTTGGCCTTCCTGGTTGTGCTTTGTTCTAACCATCATTCCTCCCAAGGGTTCGTCCTCACCTCTCTCCTCACCTGGCATACCCTCCAAGGCCAATCTGATGACTCCAACCCAGACCAAGGATGGAGAAGGAAACAGCAGGACCTTATGGCACCTGGGGCCCCTGCTGAGCCCAGACCCAGCGCCTCTCCGACGGCACCTCCTGCCATCCATCCCCGCCATCCACGGCGATGGCCTCTTCCCTCTGCAGCCTCTTGGGACCCTTCAGCCTCCCTAGCAGAATGTCTTGCCCACAGTGGAATGAAGTACTTATTTTCTGATTAGTTATCTCTATTTATTATGTAACTTTCATCCAAGCCAGAGAAATCGGAATTATCAACTACTACAGGGAAGAAAAAGAAAGAAATGAGCTGAAATACAGGAATCTGATTCCAGCAAGAAATTGGGCCCCTCCAGAGCGCTGACAGCGCTAACACACGTTCACAGGAAGGGCAGGCTCGTGACATTTCCTCACTGACACTCAAAGCCGTGTTACGTCTTACAAGTGGGAGGGGAGAGTTGCAGTAACTCAGGGGCGAGGTTTTGTGAACTACAGTTACTCATGGGCTGCAGCTGCCAAGTTAAATTCCCGCGCAGAGCTGCAGGAAGGCCCAGGAACACCCCTGAGCACCCTCAGGGGTCTCGTAGTAGAACAGAGAACACGCTTAGGCGGTGCCGCCACCCAACAGGCCTTGCCTCCGTTTGGGTGAGTCCCCGGCCCAGAACGCAGGCCTGCATCAAGACCCTCCCCTCCGCGACGCTGGGAGCCCCTCTCTCGGGTCCTTGCTCTCTCCCCTGTAAAGCGGGCGGGATTGCGCCTTCACAGTGCTGCTGTGGGGATTCGCTCTCGGGAGAACCCACCTACAAAGCCTTGTAGAAACGGGGCTGTGATGAGATGGAGAGGAGATGCCAGGTGGCACGGGCCACGCTGGCCACGCCCCCTTCGGGGAGAGGACCAGCCCCACCCCGGCCCCGCCCTCCTCCCCCGAGGAGATGCCTTCCCAGGCCCCCTCGCTCCTGAAGGAGCTGTCCTACTGGGTGGGTGCGGGTGAAGAGGGGGCGGACGTGAACAATAAGGACCTCGGGGTACTCTGGGAACAAGGCGCCCACCCGGTACTTACACAGACGCAGCTGTGCCACCGCCCGCCCCGACTGTAACCAGTGCTGCGGGGCTCAGTGCGTGACGGGCTTTTTTGAATGTACCCTAAAATACTCTTGTCTTAAAGGAATTGAATGATGTGTCAAAAGAACTTCCTGCATCATCCAGGGTCTTCTTTGGAAAAACTTAAGAACTGATCTTAGATGGGCTGTAAACGGTCCCAAATCGATTCACTCTGGTGCCACATTATCCAGGGCCCCGGGGACCCTGAGGGGTCCAGGTGCAGGTTATGTCTGCCTCGAAGACTTGGGGGCACGGGCACCAACAGAGCGACGTCGTCTTACTGGCACTGCGAAGCGTGGCTGTAGACCGGCCGCAGCCACGCCCTGCGGAGGCCTGCGTCCCCGCGGGCTCTTCTTAGCCGCCCCCAGACGCCGCAACGCCAGCTGGGAATTCGCGGTAAAGGGGAGCCGTCAGGGGGCCACTTCCACGGCACCTCCGCGCCGAACACCGTCCTCCGCAGGAAATCAACCTCAGTCTTCAAACAAAGAGCTTCTCCCCTGCGGTTCGTTCTCTGAGCTACACGGTCAATCCCGCCCGGGCTTTCCTCCCTGAGGACGGGAGCTCCTGCCTCGCCGGGCCGGAGTGAAAGCTCGTTCCCGGGGAAAGCCCCGTGGGCCCTGCGACAAGCGGGCGGCCGCTCTTCACCCTCCCGGGCAGCCCGGGCTCTGCCCGCTGCAGGGAAGGCCGAAGGAAGGAGCAGGTGCCGCCCGGATCCATGATCCCCCAGCCCCTCCCCTCAGAGGCTTCCAGCGCATCCCGCGGCCGCCGCGGCCTTGCTTTGCTGAAGAGCGCCGCCCCGCGACCCGACAGAGAAGCGCAACCCCGTGAGGCACGGGCCCAGCCCGTGCGACGGCGCTCACAGAGCTCCGGAGAGGCCCTCGCCTGAGGAACCCGGAGTTTACTCGCAAGAGCAGCTTCGCGACCAAACCCTTGAAACACAGCGAGGCAGGAGGCGCCGAGGGACGCGACCCAGCGACCCTCCTGCAGGTGTGCGCGCGTCTGGGCACACCGGACACCCACCTGAGGGGCGCCCCCGTGGCTCCGGTGCAGTCCTGCGGCGCCGCTCGGGCTGAGGCCGAGCTGTCCTTAGCGCCGACGGGCACACGGCGGGCAGCGGCCGGCTCCCCGCCCCCTCCTTCACCGAAAACCCCGCAGAGACCCGGAGGCTGCGGTGGGGGGAGGGGACCCCGGGCTCAGGCACGCAGCTCGGCTGCCACACGGAGGCACCCAAGTCCCTCCTCCTGGCAGGGCCACCGACGCCCGGGTCAGGACGGGGCTGGGGGCTGCCCGCACACGGTCGTCACGCCAACCTAACGGGGCGGGACGGTACCCTCCACACGTCACCCACGAGAAAACGGTGTGGGGGGCTGAGCCCGTGAATAGACGTGGCGGAGCCGGGGTCCAGCCTGTGTCCAGCGCCCGAGCCTGTGGCCTCTGCCCTCTGCGGCCGCGCTCCTGAGGCCGGCACGAGCTGACTCCCTCCCGGGCTCGCTCTCGAAAGGCTTGGCGAGCTTTTGATGGAGAACAAATTTAGCTAATCTTCACTTCTTTCCTTTTCGCCAGCAATTTCCATCTGCTGAAGGTATTCGGCCAGCAGAGAAAATAAAAAGCGTCCGGGGGAGCATGAGGCGGACTCGCTAACTTCAGCCGCCTCTGGCCGCTTCTCAGCTGCTTGGCCTCCTCAGCCGTGACGGCCGGTGCCCATCGGGTCGTGGACCCTCAGCCGCCGGCGCCTGTTACCCTGGCGACTCCCGCTGGCTAGACAGCTGGTGTGGCACAGCCCTCAGGACGCCTGTCCCTCGGAGTGAAGTTCTCCATCAGCTCAACGGCGAAGAGCAGCAGACATGTGACATTGTTTGAGGAAAACAATGAGCTTCGGCCCCCTCTGCTGCGGCTGCCACCCACGTGGACGCAGGGAGGCATCCGATCAAGGCAGGGGTTCTGCAGGAGCAGGGCGGACAGAGAAAACAGACCGGGCGGACAGGAGGAAGCCCGTGCGCAGTGCCCAGCCCAGCACCGGCCAGGAGCGGCGTGGCCTCCCCGAGGGCGGGCAGGCACCAGCCACACCGCCCTAGCACCCGGCACCCCAGCAAGGGCAGCGCTTGTCACGGGTGCCACGTTGCCGCCGTTTGCCCACAGGGAGCCGCGGGAAGGGCCTGCAAGCGCAGCGCGACACCAAAAGAATGCACGCCGCTCCCTCTGGGAGCACACGCTGGGGTCCTCGGACTACGGGGGCAGCACCCACACAGGCCTGCGCCCGGCCTCCCCCACCTCGAAGGCCAGACCAAGACCGGCGAGAGTCCTGGGCAGGACAGGAGATGGTCTTGGGGCAGAGTGGACGGAAAGCTGACTGCGAAGTGACGGCCGAATGTGACTCTGAAGTCGCCAGCACCGGCATCTGGGGTGTGGGTGTCGAGCCTTCGCAGAGGATCTTGGTGTGCGGGCGCGGCCTGTGCGGTGCTGGGGCTGAGCCACAAACAGGCCCACAGCACAGACCCAAGGGTTCTGGGACACAACCGTGACAGTAACTCTCCTAGCTGCCCTCCGGACCGTGTACCGGCTAGAACCCCGACTCCACCGAGGCTCCTAGCGTCCTTGTGACTGAGATGGTGGGAGGTGTCGTCCGAGCCCTTGCGGCATCGGGCTGGCGCCTGCTGGAGCATCTCCTTCTGAAACCGCAGACGCCCACGCAGGACCAGGCTGCTCACGTTCCAAGGCCCAGGTCAGAGACAAAAGGCTCACGTGCCCAAACCTCCTCGCCGTGTGCCCACAGGCTTAAGGAGAGCTTCCTACGGCCGGCTGCCCCAAGTACGAGTTGTTTGATTTCTGCAAAATCCACTGACACCACCTAAAGGAGAAAGTTGTAGTGTTACAGCCTCAAGGGCAGCCCCCCGCACTGTCTCGGGGGGCAGGTCAAGCGCCGGGAAGGACCCTTGGCCGTGAGGGTGGGTCTACACGGAGGAAGCAGCTGGTAAGTGTGGCCAGGTGGTCAGGGGCCTGGAAGCAACGAGACCGGAAGGCGAGGGCCAGAGGTATCAGAGTGGTTCGTGGGCGTGAGGAGGTGAGTGCACAGCATGCTGACGTCTGTCCCACGAGAGCACCCTCCGCTGGCGTCGGCTGACACGGTGACCTGTGGACACCACACCCCATCACCACGGCACAGAAGCCTTATCCGCTGGGTGGCTCTCCTGGCACCGCTTCCAAGACCTCAGCACGCGCTGCAGCCCCGCGAGCAGCCCCTGGAGGACGTGGCGGAGACGGGGACGCCGGGGGCTGCTGTCCACCCGACAGGCGCCCTCCTCTCTGAGCCACCAGGACACATGGTCGAAGAGGCAGGTGAGGGGGGAGCATCGCTGTGAGCCCCTCGGAGCCACGGCTTGTGGGGAGGCTAGGCCCCCAAGGCAGCCCTTACACAGGACTGAGGGCCCGCCCGCAGTGCTGGCCTTGTGTCAGGGAACCAAAGGACCGAGAGGGGCCGCCTGTAACGCGGGTGACCGCCCCCCACGCCCCTGAGGACAGGGCTGCGGCCACAGGCGGGGACTTGGGGGCCCATGGGAAAGGATGCCCATTTCTAGGGATAAAAGTCAACAGAAAACTAGTTACCCAAACTAGGAAGACTGCTAGCGGGAAAGCCCTTTCAGGAATGAGGTTTGGGTCAACCTACCAGGTGAAGACCCACAACCAACAGAGGTGGGCAGCTGAGGGCAAAGGAACGCGATGAGCTGTAGAGCAGCAGCGTTTAACACGAGCTTCCGCCAGCCTAGTGGCCGCGGGGCTCTGCAGATCCTGCACTGGCTGGTGAGAGTACAGATCAGTCCATTTTCCCCCTTGCCCGTTCCAGCGCCAACACCAGGAGGGTTAGGAGTGGTTAAGCCTTCGAGCCCACACCCAGGAGGCCGTGACCGACCACAGGAGCACCTCTCCAGAAGTGGACACTTGACGTGGGCGTCTGGCATCACATCAGGCAGAAGCAGGTTTCACTGTCTTTACCCACAAGTTCACTTTACAAGGGGGTTGCAGGTACTGGGCTGGTGAAGCGACAGATGGAACACGGATGGCTGTTGTCACACGGCCCCACCTCCCCAACGGCGGCCTCCACACTCATCTCTGACAGCTGAGAAGCCAGAACAGGCTGTGGGAAGTCCTTCCTGGGAGGCCAGACCTGCCAGCAAGGCTGGAGGAGGCTGTGCATCACGGCAGGTGGGTGCAGCTGAGCACATACAGACTGGGGTTGGGGGCAGCCCTGCAGGGGTTCCTGGAGAAACACAGCCTTGCTGCTGCCACCGAAGCGGACGAGGAGCTTCCTGCAGTAGACACCCAGGGCCTCCTGCGAGGGCTGACCTGGCTCTTCTGGCTGCAGCCCTGGCCCTCACTCCTCCGCCCTTCTGGTCCCTGCACTAAACCCGCCAGACCTGGAAACCTGGGGACGTGCAGACTGTTAGGCATGCTGCCCAGCATCTTCCAGGAGCTGTTCCTCCCCAACCCTCTCCCTCGAGATCTGAATCATATCAACCTCACTCTCAGCTCCAGGGACAAGGGTGACCAGCCCAAGCCCTCCCTCTACGCCCCAGTGGCCGGTCCAGGAGTAGACGTCCACCTAGCCTGACTGGTGAGTGCGGGGCAGGGTCTTGGCCACAGCCATCGTTTCAAGATTAGGCCTGTGGCCAGTAAGATGAAGCCGCCCATTCCTGGGTGAGAGCTGGGTGAGAAAAATCTCTCCTCTAGACAGTATGCATTGGGAGATGAGGCCCAAAACTGCTACGGCCATTTGGTTCCCAGGGATTCAGCCTGAGGTTCACACCAACAACTTGGGAAAAGCAAGTCAGGAAACTGCAGAGCAACGGACCTTGTGCCCTGATCAGGCAGTACCTGGAATCCACCCTGCCTTTGGATTTTCAACTCACATGCTGTAAAGTCTACTCAGATCGGGTTTTCTGATAGATCCCAAAGCATCCTGACTTATTAGACTACTTTACTCGTGGATTTCTTGGCTAAATGTATTAACATTTGTTTCTTCTCACTAAAAGTCCAAATTTTCAACAAGGCCACCTGTGTGAGATTGACAGCTTCATCCCATTTGTTCTTGTCTTGGCTGGTGTAAGCCGCCAGGTTCTCTGTGTACTGCAAGACGGACTTTAAGAACCTGTTTAAAAGAAAGAAATTAATTTCTTTATCTATGCCCTTGTAAAATGCAATAATGATTTAAATGTATCCCCTTCATTTTGAAATTACAACTAAAGTTCTGTAGTTAATTTTTGTCTGAGGATTCAAGAAAAAGAAATACATTCAAAACAGAAATGAGAGAATACAAATTGGATGAAGGAGAAGAACGCCGAACTAGAGTGTCACTGGAGGGGATAGACACCCAGACTCCACACAGCTCACATACTCTCCATCTTTCTCTCCCAAATCCACATATGACGGATGCTCTTAGCTGATGGGACTCGGTTCCAGAAAGGACCTTAGAGGCCGTCTGGACCACACTTACACGTAATAAACCCACAGGACACAGGACCTCGGGGGCTGTGCCTCCTGTTCCCACCCTGATGACCAGCCTCACCCGACGGAGAGAGGGGCCACCCCTTCAAAGGAGATACGTCCCACCTGGAGCAGCTATTGCTGTTGAAAGGCTTTTCCTGAAAGATAATTCGTCAGAAAGTTCACAGGGGAATTACCTCTGACTGATGGGAAGAAGCGCTATTTTCACATTTTCCAAGTTCTCCTCAAAGGTTCCCAAGTAGCCTAAAATTTTCTCCAACTATGAATTTTTGAAATTTTCAAACTTAGGGAACAGTTAAAAGAATAATACGATGAAAATCCACAGACCCTTTGTCTAGAGGCGTAGCTTTCACTTAGGGTGATTTTGCCCCCAGAGGACTGTGGCAACATCTGAGCCATTTTTAGTCATCACAACTGGGGGCTACTGGCATCTAGTGGGTGGAGGGCACCACCCTACAGTACCCGGGGCAGACCCGCGGCAGAGACAGTCCACGGTTTTGAGCCGCGACCTGGCCCCAGGCATCCGCACAGCTGCCTGAGACGGTGGCAGCCGCTCCAGCTTCCTCCCGATAACACTGTCCGGACATTATTCTTACACCAGGGGGAGGAATTCCGAAATCATTCCCATGTAAATCACATTAAATTTTCTGAAACATGTCAGTTTTAAAGGCTCACAAATTTGCACTGAAGTCCACAGAGAAGAACAGTTCAGGACCAGACTGTGGGGTTGAAAAAATCACCAAGAAAATAACCAAGAGGAGTGAACATGATTCAGAATTAGCACAACACAGCTGCGTCTCCTGTGCGGAGGGCACTGACCTTAGATACTGCTGATATTCCGAAGTATTTTTCCCAAGAACCACATGAATGTTGACCAATTCCAGTGCAATCAGCAATAAAATCAGATAAAGCATAGGAGACAGAAGCTTAATACTAAAAATAAAGTAAAAGTTAATAAACGTAAGTATTTATCACCTTTATAAGGAGAAAAATGTTTCACCTAACCAATCCTTCTTTCAAAAGTCCTTAAATCCAAACTTCTCAAAAGAACACTCTTATGTGGACAGCCGTTATCCCAGTGGCCGTGAGCCCTGGCCCCTGCAGGCTGTGTGGGATGCCCCCCAACCTTGGGCCTGAGCTCCTCGCCTGGTTCTGAGCCCACAGGCGCCCTGCCTGCTCTGAGGACCAGGCTCCACCAGGTCAGCACCCGGTCCCTTTGCCCAGTGGCAGCTCCTTCCTTACAAGTCAGCGTTCAGCAAAGGACTCTCCCAAGAGGAGAAACACAAATGGCTTAAACATGAGAATGGGTTCAACGTCTCTGGGACCAAATTCCAGTTAAAGTCAGACTCCAGTCTTCCCGGGAGGAATTTTAAAATATATCCTGTTTTGGGGAAGGATGTGTGATGTAACAGCATCATCTCATAAACTGCCGGTAAGGGTGTAAACTGTATGTAACCTTCTGAAAGCAAAGGAATACTTACTAAAAAGCTTTATAAACGCAGATACCATTCAACCCAGAAATTCTAGGAATTTGTCCAAAATGGTAATTTCATGAGGATGTAGCACATTCTAAAATACACAATGCTGGCATCCCCAGGTAAATCTGCTGTCGTATTTTAAATCCGGGTCCGTAGAACCCATATCCCAAAATTATAAATGGTATTTTTAAGTGACACATATGTAACTTCTCCTGAAAATAAGTATTTCTCTGAAGTCAGGGGTAGAAGTGTACCCTGAGGTAAGAGCTGCCCAGCAGAGCTCCTCTAAACGAGACCCGTGAGCCACGCACCTGTGAACCAGGCGCAGGTAGTTCCGCCGCTGCCGGGAGCGCAGGCTCCTGTCCTCCCACTGCCGGCGCCTCAGCTCCGCGCAGGCGGCCACCTGGCCACACACGCGGCGGCAGTGGGCGCCGATCTTCCGGAGCACGGCCAGCACCTCCAGGACGGCTCTGGGGCAGAACAGGGTCCGGACAGGGATGCTGCAGAGCTCACGGAGCAGCTGGGGCCACCTGCAGGGCAGAGCGAGAGTCCCGAGGGCCTACGGTCACCAGTCCTCCGCGGCCTGCACACCTGCCGCGGCCTCCAACGCGGTCTCGGTTTCCTGCTGCAATCGTTACACCGGGCGGGTGTCGATGGTGAGAACAGATCGTGTGTTGTAACGTCCGTCAGACACACCAACGCACGCACCATCAGGGCTTATCTAATAATTCCTCCTGGGACACAGTGGGATTCTAACACTACCTTCAACGTGTAAGACTTCAAACACAGAAAACTGCGAGGTCGGCGACCCCAAAATACTTCCCCCAGGACACCCCGAACTTACTCCTCAGGGGGAAGGTGCTCCGAGGCGTGAGGAACGCGGTGGGTCTCGGGCACGTGGTGACACAGCTCAGCCACGATTTCTGTGATTAAAGAGTGGCAGGCATTTATTTCAGAATTACCTTCTGATCTGAAAAACAGAAAACATTTAAAGATACATGACAATGAGCAAGATGCAGAATAATATTTATTTCAGTGGTTCACTGAGCAAAGCACTCAATCTGCAACTCGCTTTCCCCAAAAATACAATGAAAAAGCCACCATCAGAGGGAGAGGTAAAAAGAAACGACACACACACTGTGGGCGATGCACCTGCTGTCAGAAGATGCCCTGTGACCCTCGAGAGTCCTCCCTCGAGCTGACTCTGCAGTGTGTCCACGCCCACTCCTCTCCTGAGCTTCAGACCCGCTGTCACACCGTCCACTAGCCATTTCTGCCACATGCCACCCTCCTCCCCACAAGGCCTGCCTCTCGTCCCTGTGCCCTTGGTCTCTGCAAACGGTTCCCCCACGACCGGGCCCTGAACCCCCAGTCTTGGCCCTCCAGTCACCAAGACCTAGCAACCCCTCCTTGGGATCTGTCTCCCAACAGGCTTGCCAGAGAAAAAAAAATCGTTCAGAGGCTGACATTCTCGGACCCCCGCGAGGCCTGCGTGACTTGGGGGGCACTCACCGCTGAGCCTCCCTTTCGGATCCTTCAGGCAAAGGCAGCAGAGGCCAGACTCCGATGCTCCTCTCACAGCTCAGCACCTGACAGGACAATGTACAACTGCTTTTCAAAATTTTTAAATAATGTTCTAGAAAACATGTTTTTAAGTTGTTACAGATGTTGTCATCACTTCCAAGAAAAGACATATCTGTAAAATTGTTTCCGATGCCACACTTTAAAACTAGGTGATGGGTCTGTTACTCAATCAAATCAGGTAAAGGAAGGTAGGTGAAACATGGGATTCCAAGGAAGTGTCCAAAATTCTTCTGACACCTCCTGATGAGAGTTGGTCCGTGTCCCCGCCCCTGGTTGGGGCCAGCCATGGCGAATAGCTGTGGCCTTGAGAACACAGGGAGAAGCAGGTCGGAGACGGGCCCCTCCCCTCGTCCCCACCTCTGCTCGGGTGCAGCTGGCCGAGCACCCAGCACAGACTTCCACTTCTCAGATGGGTTCCTGTCCGGCAGAGTCCATCCCAAATTTATGACCCACAAAAGCACAAGCAAATTAAGTGGTTGTTGTTGATGCCACCAAATGAGGTACTTTGTTACGCAGCTGATATCCCGAGCAGCGGACTTAGAAAGAACAGGATGCAAGATTGGCTGCAGAATAAAAGGTGACTAAATCACATGCGGCAGGAGTACGAGGCCACGGAAAAGGTGAAGGTGCAGAACGCCCACTGTGGGGAAAGGAAGGGGCGTTGACCAGGGACCTGGAAGCAGCAGCCAAGGAGCAGGAAGGCTGGCTCCCCGAAGCTTCTCTTCCTTCCAGAACCTTCCCTCCTTTGCTGAAGCCTCCCTCCCTGAACGCTTCTGGGTCCTCCTTCTAACGGCTTTTGTTCTGGAAGCTCGGAATCACTATGGGCAGACAGTGCGATGCGAGTGGATAAAGGTACCAGAGCAGCCCGACGCGCCATCGCAAACAGGACCCGCTGACACAGGAACTCAGGCTGATTCCTTCCCGCAAACAGCAAGGACAGAGCGCCGCTGGGTTCTGCTCCTGCACAGCTGCTGCTAACCCCCTCCTGCCTGATGCTACTCAGGACCTGTCTTCTGCAGGCTCGGCTTCTCCCCGGCGCCACCGCAAATCTCCCCAATCCATTCTGTGCTGATCTTACAGCTTCCTTTTAGAATTTCTCAGTTAGCAACTATCATGATTATTATATTCTTGGAGACGACCCCATTTTTGCCCCCCCGTACCGCCTACCATACAGAAAATAAAGTCTCTAGGCTACTCGCCAAATTGTAACTTCCTGGTAGAAATGCTTAAGAAAGTTTGTTGCCTGCTTGTTTACCTTACAGGTTAACAAAGGCTGGCCTCATAAAGCTGGCGTCCCTCACCACCGAAAAGCAACACCTGTGACCAATCCCGGGTTACCAGCACTCAGCCACCCATCAAGTACCAAGAACGCCGAGGACACAAACCCCACCACAACCCGAACTGCTGGACCTTAGAAAGACACAGTGGCTTGGCCAAGGCCATGTGTCCAAGGTGAACGCAGGCTACAAAGCCAGCTCTGCGGACTTGCAGCCCGGCTGGACAAGGCCGGCCTGTACCTCTCAAATCTCTGCAACAACTGACCTGCACACGCCCCTCCCCACACACCTGCTTTTTAAGCTGAGAAACTGGATGGCAGCGAGCGCCATAGGCTTCTGCAATGCTCACCAATGCTCTCACTGCTGCTTTTTCCTGCTTTAGAGAAAACAGATAATTGTTACTACAACTTCTGGTCAGGCTCCTACTTTTCTTCTATTGCATCTTAGGTCATTTAAGAGTCCCAATTTCCCATCAGCTTCCTTCACATAATTCTCTCAGCTAAAAGAAAGCAAAACTCTTCATTAAAATAGGTCTAACAAGGCTTCCCTGGTGGCGCAGTGGTTGAGAGTCCACCTGCCGATGCAGGGGATACGGGTTTGTGCCCGGGTCCGGGAAGATCCCGCATGCTGTGGAGCGGCTGGGCCCGCGAGCCATGGCCACTGAGCCTGTGCGTCCAGAGCTTGTGCTCCACAACGGGAGAGGCCGCCAACAGTGAGAGGGCCGCGTACCGCAAAAAAAAAAAAAAAAAAAGGTCTAACATAGTAGTCAAACCATAACCAACAAAATTTTTAAATGAGGCTGATTAACAATGATAAATTACAAAGGCCACTCTGTCCACAATGCAGCAAAACAAGAAATAAATGGGAGAAAAAAAGATGCCAAACAATTGGAAAATGTAAGAGATTCTCCTAAAAAACTAGGACATAAGAATTTAAAAATTAAAAATCAATATAACTAAAAGAGCATTACATACTATAAACACTCAATTGCCAAACATACATTTTTAAAAGAGTAAATATAACATTATTTACAGCTGACGCATCTGTATAACTGGAAAACCCAAGGTGGCAGACTATTACCTAGTCAGTGAGCTGAGAGTGGACAAATTTAATACACAAAAGTCAAGAGCTTTCCTACGTATAAGCAGTAACTACCCAGAACTCTCAATAGCACAAAACAACTCATATAGTTAGTCATTACTTGGAGAAGAGATGCACTCAACTTTCACTCACGCAGATACCTACACGGGTGCTACACGGAGCAGAGAGAAACCAGCCCTCACTGTGTGGTGAACGTCCGGCGGGGTCGCCAGGACTCACACCTGAAGTCAGTGACGAGCCGGCAGCCACCACAGCACACACGGCTTCTCCCCTGAGACAGGAACCTCAGGAGGGCCTCAGAGCACAGTGGGGACACATGGGGGCCACACCCCTCCCAGGGGCTCAGGGGAGCAGTGGGGGTGGCAGAGGAGGGGGGATGCAGATCTGGGGCACCAGCTTGAGGTAGAGGATTGAACGTGGAGAGTGAAGAGTGGGGACTGGCCTGTGTCAGGGAACAATGTGCAATCTTGCAAAAATGTCAATTACCCCCACATTAATCCATCAGGAGCCCATTCCTGTGGGCTGGTTGGTTGGGCTTGGGCTTTGTGTTTAACTACACAGGTTCACTGGAATAATAACAATTAGAGAAGAGGCAGGACAATTCTGAAGAAGAAGAGGGGCGGGAAAGTAATCTCTCAGATATCAAACCGTACCATGAAGCTTATTAAAGACAGGCAAAGAGAGTCCAGTGCACACAGTATAGAGATATTTATTCTCTAAATGGCGTTTGGCCAACTTGCAAGCAATTTGTTAAAAAAAGAAAAAAAGTACAGCTAGATTCTCTAACTTACTCCCAGCTGAAATAAATTCCAGCTGCATCAATAGATGTAAATCAATAGATGTAAATGATGTAAATTTACATCAACAGATGTAAATCAATAGATGTAAATGATCAATAGATGTAAAAAGCTATAAAACTATACAGGAAAACATATTACATTTATAATTTTGGAAAGCAAAGGGTCTTTTAAGGACTTCAAATGCATAAGTCAGAGAGAAAAAACATCAAAACCTAAAGACTGGTAACAAGCAACACATACTCTGAAAATGGCAAATAAGGCTAATAAACCAGTGAGGAAAATGAAACTGAATAAAACAGAGCAAAGATGTTAACAGGAAGTTCACAAAAGAATTTCAGCATCATAGTTAGACATTTTCCACAGCAGAGAAAATTCTAAATCACCCATCAATGAAGGACAGCTTAGACAAATAATGACACATTGATAAGATGGGGTATCAAGCAGCTGAGACAGAGTAAGGTAGAACAAAGTTGCCAAAAATAAACTGTTAATGAAATGCTAGTTATAAAACAGAGTATGTCCTGCTTTGGAACCCGCACTGCAGGCTCATGGAAAGATGTGGAAGCAGAGACACTCAGCTACTGACAGCAGTCACCTCTGGGAGAAGGGATTCCTGAGAACTTTCACTTTTTGTATTAATTTTTCTATCCTGTTGGAATTTTGAAACAAATTTTCCCATAATTGTTACATGTACAGTCTGAAAAAAAGATTAAAATATAACTAACAATCTAACCTATTTCTTTTAATATATAAAAGAATTAGTTTATTGACAAATGCAAATATTCTACTCTCTCATTTAATAGTCCTCTGTAAATTTTTCCAATTTATTTAGTTAATCCTGTTTTATACTTTGTTCTCTGGTTTGCAATATCCCATCACTGTTAAAAACACAAGCAAATGTATGCTTAGGAAATAGGCTGAATTATTCTTGGTGAGATCAAGTAATATTGATTTATTTGTTATAGACAATGCCTGTACACATGCACACATGTTCAGATGGAGGTACACTGTACTCACATAAATTAAAAGATGATTAAAATATAATTACATCTGAAAATAAACTACATTCCTTCATAACTTAATGACCGTGAATTTAATTAATTTTCTTTCCTACACATTACCTTAAACACTGATAATAGATCTTCATCAATAAATCTGAGTAAAAGTACAAAGGAAAATGCAAGCAACTGATTGGCTGCTTCTTTCGGAAATTCAGGTAAACTGATTTCCCCGTGGCTTAAACGATCTCTTAGACGGGGACCTTCCTGATGGTTCAGGAAATCCCAGAGAAATTCCTATCAAAAAAAGGACACAGAAAATATTTGGTTAGTATTCTCAGCAGAAAGAAGGAAAGTCCGAAGGCCCAGAAAGGGCAAGCCCAAAACATCTGAGGAGCAGCAATGTTCATTACAGAAAAGTTAGACTGAAAAAGAAAGTCATTCAAGGTCACGCAACAGAAAAGTATCAAGTTACGATAGTCCCTGGATCTCTTGGCTTTATCACTGCACTCGACTACCTCAGGCAGGACTGCACCCCACTAGCTCAGGATGGCCCTGAGGAAACCCCGTCCTCTGTAACTGCACTCCACAGCCTCACGCAGGACTCCCCTGAGGGCACCCTGCTGTCTGTAACTGCACCCCACCCCTCAGGCAGGACTCCCCTGAGGCACCCTGCTGTCTCTAACTGTACAGCCTGCTCCTCAGGTAGGATAACCTGGGGAGCCCTGTTTCTGTACCTGCTCCTTGGCTGATTGATAAGAACCTAAGAAGTTTGTAGAACTCACCACCAGGGCTGCAAAACTGCTTGCATGGCTCCAGTGCTTAGTAAAAGTACCCTTTCTCATTCTCACCCTTGTGAAAAACGAGAACTGGGTTGACCACATTTGGAAGCTAACTTTCCAATCAATAAAAGAATCCACTGCTGTGCTCCTGCACGGACAACACCATTTTTCTTTCCCCTCATGGCTCTCCTTCTTACATGTCCTTTCTCACATCACTCGTTTACTTCTGAAGCCCTATGAAGACACTGCTTCTTTCTTAATGGCAAAAATCCAAGGACTCTTCCACAACATAGAGGAAAATAAGTCAGAAAACCCAATTTGCTGACCCAGGCAAATTGCTGATGGACAAACAGAATTAGACAAACTACTTCAATCATCCTAATTTCCTGATGGCAGAAAGGACGCCCAGAGAGCGTATGGAATCTGACTAGTGTCACACAGCCGGAACTGGAACCTAGGTTGCTAACTCCCAGTTAAAAGGAGAAAATATGAAAATTCTATTTACAGTCCAAAGTAGTCACTGCAATAACTTCATAAAATACAAAACTGTGATAAATAGAAAATGGCTCTAAATAACTACCTTCTCTCATCCAACACTCTGTCTTACTAGTCGCATCTGACTTTGCTGTCATTCACGAAGCAAATGCAGTCCCTGCTACCAGCGCAATACAAAACCCACAAATTCAAATATTGCTCAGAATCAGGTCAGCTAAGTCATCAGGCCTTAGGAGAAGGACATTTAAATAAAAGCATGAAGCACAGTACCTGAGCTGGGCTCAGAGCCAGCAAATGACAGTTGCACAGACAATGAAGTTCAGGCATGGGAATGCTTCAGAAGCATTTTTTATGGGCACGTCACAAGCCAAAATTAACATCATTTTTGAGAAGTGCTAATCACATCCATAAATACAAGGATGTTAGATCGTAAATGCCTAATACTTTACCATTGCAGGCTCTCCAAGGAAAAGAGGAAGTTGATTGATTTTACCATCATTCAAGTGTTTTGCCAATATCTAAAACACCAAAAAGAAGTAAGCTGATTAACTGGTACATATACAGAACTTTCAGTGTCAAAAGATATTGTACATTTGGTATGACATGCTGTGTAAGTCCAAAGCAGATTAAATGAAATAAGGACAGTCTTAAGAACATAGCAACCACCTGTTCAGAAAAGGTTTTCTCAACCAATACAATGACTTTAGGAAGATATATATATGTATTCTTAATTGTGTGTATGTGTTTATGTATATTTACATGTATATAGGTGTGTATATGTGTATTCATGTATATGTCTGTGTGCATTTATGTGCATATATATGTATACATGTATTTGTGTGTTTATGTGTAGTGTGTGTATACAGGTATACGTGTATATTGTGTTTATGTGTATTTGCAAACACTGTGTATGTGTACATGTATATACGTGTGTATGTATGTATATATGTATGCTATGGCCTTTCCATAACTTCAGAAGCTAGGTTAATAAGACTGGGTCTCAATTAGTCTGAAAACTATATTCAACACTATCATCACCTTTTTCTTTTTCTTTTTGCTTATATGACTATCAACATTTTCCTGTAAGCATATGATTTATGGCTGATCTTTAATTTTAATTTTAAAAGAATATAATGTTTTATTTGTTTCAAAATACCTTATAAGTTTACTTACCTCATCAAAGGTAGTATAAAGAGCTGTTGACTTCAGAAAAGGAAATAAAAGAAATAATTAAAGCAAAATACAAGTAGTGTGACACTATTCAAGCAGGAAAAAATTCTAGCACAGGGCCACAAATATGAAACCTCCTTTTGTGTAAATAAATCTTTATCTAGCAACACTTTGGGAAGAATGTCATTGACAACATAAACACAATATAAAAGACATGAAAATACAGCAACCCTGGCAGTCTAGCCATGTTAGAATACTGCTCTAACAAGGACTGTAGCTCAGATACTTCTTTTTTTTTTTTTCTTTTCTGTTGAGAAATGTTTTTTTATTGTTCATGGACTACTGATCACAGACAGAAAGCATCTGGCTTATTTGTGACTTCAATCATTAGCTCTCCATTTTAGGTTAATGCCAATATTTGAGAATCAGGCCTGAGTGAAAGCAGTAATAAATACTAGACAGAAATGACAAAAAAAGTCAGAAGTATCATAGTCCAGATTTCCAGAGGTCTGATCTAAATCAGCATATCTCAGCTAACGGGTCTTTATGATCTTATAGATTTGAATTTAAAGTGTATAATTGAGTTTAAGGACTTGATAAGAAAATAGCATTTTTATTTTGCAAATTAAGGGTAAAATGGCTGTTCAATTTCTTCATACAAACTGGGCTTTAAAGCATACACTTGACTAGCATACCTAAATATTTTACCCTCCAAGCATTTTTTCCCGCTTTGTTTTTTTAACATCTTTCAGATACCTCTAACACTTACGATGCCACAACTTCACCAATCACTGCTCACACAGAGCACTTCTACTGATGGCTGGTATTTGTGTGCAAGTGAGCACAACTGAATATTTTCTCCAACAAATAGCCTTTGTTTTTCATGCTTCTTGGTATAATTAGCCCAGACTTTATAGACACGGCTCGGGGCCAGGCTGCCTCAGCACTCTAATCCCAACTCCACACCTCCTACAAGTGAGACCCTGAGCACCTCCATGCTCAGCTTTCTCTGCAGAAGTGTAAGTGAGGAATGCCCATCTCAAAGGCTGCTGGGGAATTCAGTAGGATTTTACATTCAGGTGCTCAAGAAATGTGTTAAACTTATTAATGCTTATTAACATATTTTCATTTTAATACTATCAAATACTCCTGAACATTTATTACTGTGCAGATGACTCTAAAGCCCATGTATTGCTGACCCTAAAATTTTTTCCAAGCTCTATTCTAAATATTCAATTGCCTACTAAATATCCCCACTACTTCCTCAAAAAAGCTGAACTTTTCATTCATCTCCATAAACGATGTGAATTAACTTCTACCTTTTTTTTTTTTTGCGACGCCGTGCAGCCTGCGGGATCTTAGTTGCCTGACCAGGGATCGAAGCTGGGCCACGGCAGAGAAATTGCGTAGTCCTAACCACTGGACTGCCAGGGAATGCCCAACTTCTACCTTATTTTATGGAGTTGGTATAAATGTCTTATCTCTCACCCCTAATACACACAAGCTTCTAAAAGTCCCTAGGTCTTTGCTCATCTTCATATCCTGCATTGATTCTGAAGAGACCTTATGCCATAACAAGTATTCAATAAATAATTACGGCATTTGCACAGCACTTTATAATTTTCATGTATGTATTGCTTTGTAAATAAATTGATGCTATGTTTATTCTGGATAAAAGCCTGGGCTAAAATTTAAGATATTCTTCGATAAACTACAGCCTCTGTAGAAACAGTCACACTATTTATTTGTTTAGTGAAATGACAACTAAATAACCAAATTCATAGCATCACAGAGCCGTGCGGTGACTGGCCAGGTTGCCATGAAGTCAACTGTCAGAGCACTCGAGTGAGAGCTGTGACAACTGGGGCTCTAGTTTCTGCTGGAAGACCCAGGCTTCACTCCACAACACTGGACTGGGCAGAGCCTACAGCAAAGGCACCGGGTGTGGGCACCAGTGGACATATATGGATGACCCACTCCAAAGGGGCCTACACCAGAGAGCTCTACAAAAATGCACATAAGGCAAAGCAGAACTGCCTCAAGATAAGACAGAAAGAGAACGCAGAGAAAAGCAGCTGTTAGATCCAAGTAGATGTGGCTCTGGGAGGTCACCACTGTGGCCGGGAGTGGTCAGGCAGGGGACAGTGGGCAAAGTGAGAGGAAGGACACGCATGTTCAGGAACTGGCGAGGAGCTTAAATTATGCTGGGAATCAGAGGGAAAACAAACTGGAGAAAGGCTGAGGCCAGACTCTGACATCCTTACAAGCCATGCAGAAGCGTGAGCCTTGCAGGCAGGCGCTGGGAGCCATGGAAGGTTTCTAAGCAGAGGAAACCATAAAAGACACAGGAATACTCGTGAGTTTAGAAAACAATTAGTGGCAGTGTGAGAATGGATTAGAGAAGGAGAATCATGAAGACTTGTGGAAGATGAGTTACCAGGTGAGTGTGAAGGGGAGCCAGGTGAGACCTCAGCACTGAAGGACCACAAGACAAATCAGGGGTAGAACTGATCGGCAGGGCAAGTCCATGAAGAGAATGGAGTGCAGGCAGAGCATAAGATGGTGCTAAAGCTTGGTGCAGAGCAATTCAGAGAATAAGGATAATAAGGAATACCAGAGAACAAATTTGTGGAAGAAAAAATTTGCTCTTCTGAAATAAAGTAAATTTGAGATGCTGGGGAAAACTCATATGAAGATATTCAACGAACAGGTGTAAACCTAACTCAGGAGATCAAAGAACCGTGAGTTAGAGACAATGCCTTGGAGACTGCTGGAACTTAATGCTATAAATTGCCCTCTTGGCACTGCTTTAGCTGCATCAACAACTTCTGCCATGTTGTGCTTTCATTTTTATTAGTTTCAAAGTATTTACTAATTGGTGTTGCTCCCACACAGGTAACAACTTAAGGCATGGTATTATGTGAGGTCTCCCAAGGAATAAATATAAAGAGAGTACAGGGTTGAGAACAGAATTCTGAGGAATGCCTATATAAAGGGGCACAAAGAGGAAGCTGAACTAGTGAAAGAAACAAGAATCCCAAGTATGGTAGATGCTGCTGTTTGTCCCATAATATATATTCTTCCTTTCCCCTACCTAATGGATTCTCCCATAGCTAACTAGGCCCGTGGCCACCCAGAGACATTGCTAAGCCTCCCTGGCAGTTCTGGCCAAAAGGAAGCAGTATCCTTTGAAAAGGGCATGCTGTAGACCACCCACGGCCCACCTTATGGGGTTACAATAGTACCAGTAAATATGCCTACAGAGGAAACACAAGCATCAACGCATCTGATGACACCATTAGGTTTAAAAGACTACCTGGAAATATGACAGAACCCTCAAAGACAATCACAAATAAAATAAATATATAACATATAAAATCACAATAGGAAGCCACAAAAAATGACAGTCAGGCCTTCCAAAGAAAGTTCTTAGCTAAAAAATTCATTTAACAATAAGCAAAAATATGATATTAAAAGCTTTTAATTAGGCATGGAAAAATGTCAATACAGCAACAACAGTCACCATCAACCATTTAAAGCAGTGTACCTCAGCAGTCAGAAGTCTCTTTGGACATTTGTTAACCGTGGCAAAAACTTTCCTAAGTCCAGTCTCTAGTTGCACCAATAACAATATGGCACAGTCAGCAAACCTGTGAAGTTGAAGGAAATAGGCAAAACTTCATGTTTTCAAAGTAAACACTGGCACCAACACCATAATAAGGGTGCTGTGTTCCAGGTACCACCAGTATGTCCAAAGCAAGGAGGAGTGACATTACTCACTAATATGAGGACCAAACAGAATCAAAGTCTCATTAGACTAGTGGCTGTAAAACTATTTTCCAGTGTCTTAATGTATGATGCAACACTGTTAGCAGCTGCAGTAGAATAGTGTCATCAAAGATCTGCTAAACTTATTTCTTCACTTCTAAAAAATACTCAGAAACCACGATTTCAGTGGGTTCTCAAGGTATCCAATCAAATGTACATATCAGGATAAGGTAACTTGAAAGGAAGTAAAGACCACTGACCTCCTGATGCTTCCACTCCTGGGCTTGCTCCCCAGGGAACATAGAGACAAACTGTCATCTTCTTTCTCTCATGATTCTCTAACATTGGACACTATGTTTCAGTCACAGTAAGAACTCAAAAAACTATTAATAAGTTGATTCTGAAAACTGATCATCAGGGAGCTCCCTGGGGGCCTAGGGGCCAGGGTTCCGGGCTTTCACTGCTTGCTGTGGCTGGGGTTCAATCCCTGATGGGGGAACTGAGATCCCACAAGCTGCACAATGCAGCCCAAATTTTTTTTTTAATTTTTAAATAAAAATAAATTCATTAGTTAAATAAAAAATAATTGTCTCTATTAATTGTACAAAAACAGTACAAAAAATAATGTTTAAAACACAGTTACAAGATGCCTTTTAGTTAATTATATGAAGATATTCTATGCTCGGGTCTGCTCTTGAGTCAGTCCCGCTCCTACCTGCTCCAACTCCAATAGCGACAAAGCAGAAAGGTTAGGGTTTTTAGAAGGCCTGGCCTCCAAGCTGCCAATGACCACTATGTAATGCCACACTTCAGGTACCTGTGAGACTTGAAGTTGAGTAATGCAACTTCCCAATATGGCAACATGATTTTTAGTATAAAAGTGGATTTCTTCATCACTTCTTCTAATACTGAAAGTACCTCATAAGTAACATCTGTAAAAATAGCAAATATTTTTAAGCACAACCACACTAATCAACTGAAAAAAAAGGTGTAAACACACTTAGGGAGTGATGCCACTGAGCTGACCTCTTCAGGAAAATAAACCATGGGCCCTGGGCAGCGTGCCACCTAAGCGTGAGACCACCTGAACTAGCACCAGGGTTGCAGGTGACCACAGGCACCCTTGGAAAAAGGGAACGTGGGCAATTACATCTCTTTAAGCTAAAACAACTTTGAGTAGAGGAGTTCAGGGTCAACAAGCTGACCACACTGACCAAGAAAATTAAAAATATCTTCAGAAGATACAGGAATCAAGTGTGAACCCAAAGGTAAACTATGGACTTAAGGTGATTATGACTTGTCAATGTAGGTTTATCCTTGGTAAAAAATGTACCCTCTGGTGGGAGGTGTTGATAATGGGGGAAGCTATGCGGGGCGGGGGGGCGAGGGGGGTGTGGATGGGAAATCTCCACACCTCCCTCTTGATGTTGCTGTAAACTCAGAACTGCTCTACAAAAATAAAGTCTTAAAGAATATATACATTGGGCTTCCCTGGTGATGCAGTGGTTGAGAGTCCGCCTGCCGATGCAGGGGACGCGGGTTTGTGCCCCGGTCCGGGAAGATCCCACATGCCGCGGAGCGGCTGGGCCTGCGTGTCCAGAGCCTGTGCTCCACAATGGGAGAGGCCACAACAGTGAGAGGCCCGCGTACCGCAAAAAAAAAAAAAAAAAAAAAAGACTATATACATTATTGCCAGTCACCTGACTACCAGAAGGATCCATGATACAAAAAGGCTAAGGCTGCCGGGACCAAGATGATCTGTACTGTTCCCTCCAGGATTAACATCAGCAAATACAGACACAACACTTCAGCCAAAGTGGAAAAGAATGAGCCTGGAGCAAACACATGGTTTAACTGCTCTTTCAAAGTCCTGTGTCCCCCAACCCCACTAATTTGGTAAATGGCTTTCTCATGAAAAGAAAACAAAAGATGATATAGGAGAACATTTATGCTAGTGGTACTTTTGGCATAAGGATTATGAGTACAAAGACACGAGAGCTAAAAGGAGAAGGGAAAGTGCGTTACAAACTGGTCCAAAGCCATTTGTACGCCAACATATCTGCACGATGAACTAACTTTATCATTAACGTTGAGTCACGCAGCCATGGCCCTCAGATAACCCCGGGGGCACTGTGGGAAGAGGTAAGGGTTGATGTGGCCAAATTTAAGAGGTTCTTCATGAAACTTTCAAAGGCATCTTGCCCCTGGAGAATAACTGTTCCACCTACAGAGTTCAAGTCTCAATGCTATTTAATAACTCTGTAAGTATCTTTACAGAGATATATTCAGGAAAAATGTGGCATGTGGTACTTACCAGGGAAAACGATCAAATCCTCTAAGCTTGTAAGAGTTATGAAAGGTCGATGTGCCAATGTGAACTTAGTTTGCTGAAGGTAACCCTTTAGTAGTTGACCCAATCCTGCTGTCAACAGTATCATCACTGAACAGTATCTAGTGGAAAATACCATAGAGATCCATTAGAGAAATGAACTCAGCACACATACAAAAAGCTCTACTTTCAAAAACAGAAAGTTTAAAATTAAGAAAATAAAACAGCATTAAATCGCAGGAAACTCCACGGGCTGTGGGGATGGAGCTGTGCAGTGGTCGGGAGGACCAGCGACATCTCAGAAACCTGTGAGCTTGACCCTCGGGTCTCCCACACACCAGGGTGCTGTGCCCGTCACCACCTGAGCTTCTGGGGCGCAAGTCAGCGAAATCATAACCCTATCACGCCAGTCATTCTGCCACTAACATTCAGTTTTATCTTCAAAATCTTGTCCCCAAACTCTCATTCTTCTCAAAATACATCTTTCCTTGATGTGAAATTCAAAATAAAACAAACTCTTAAGTATATCAAAAAAGAGAAAGAATCCCTCCCCCAGCATCTTACTTTGGAGGAATCTCCTGTGGTGCCGCGAAGCCATGCCACAGAACGTTGCGAAGGTTGAGTCCACGCGGAGAGCCCACGAAGACCTTGAGCACGTCCATCTAGGTAGTGAGGGGGCAGATCACCGGGTCACTGAGTAAACCAATACAACACTGGGACTATGTGAGCTCTCTTCTTGGAATTCATGGAACCAACGGTATATAGTAATGATAACAATAATAATAGACCAACACTTGCTGAGCATTCAACATGTCAGACACATTTTGTGTTTATTTGTTACTCACTCACCCTCAGGACAACCTCTGAGGAAAGTACTATTATTCCCACTATGCAGAAGAGAAAAATATAAGCAAGGAGAGGTGAGACCAAGGTTTCAGAGGCCACAAAGCCACAAAGAGGGATGAGATGCCACCCAGGCTACACTGCTTTCATACCATACATCAACATGGCCAGTATCTAGATAAAACAAAACAGAAAGTGATAAACAGAAACTCCACAGTAAACAGCGCGTGCTCGTGATAAAATACAGAAGGCAGTGACGAAGAGCCAGACCAAGAGGCGCCAGCCTCTTCTCTGACTTGAAGCTCACCGTTCACCTGCTCTGTCCCTCCATCTACAAAGCAAAGACCCTCCCAATACAAGGACGCTGCTTATCAGACTGCAATAACTATACCTTTCCATGGGCTACCTCTGGGTCTGGAGCACCACACCTTAGGAGATTCAGAAAAACGGAAGCCGTTCAGAGACTAAAAGAACTCAACCCCACGTCACATGAAAGAAGAGCTGAGCCTCCAGGAGACTCAGGAGAGGACTGAAGCTGTCTTCATACAACTTAAAGACTCGCTGGGAAGAGGAAACAGATGCATTCTGGATTTCCCTCAAAGGGCAGGACGTTTATAAAGAGGGGTTTCAACTCAATGTCAAAAAGCTTGACAGCCGGTCCTTCGACGCTATTCTGGGAAGTCTTGGCTCTACACTAATTTTAAATACTTTACTATTACCTTAATTAAATGTTAATGACTATAATATTAAGAATTTAATATTGTTTTAAATTTAGTATTATTTTAAATTAATTGTTCATACCATCTGGGCAATCAGAAATATATATGCGAATCAACTAGGAAAATTATCTGGGAGCTAAAAGGGCTGCAGGTAGGCAAAAGGCTCACTGCACAACACAGGCAGAAAATAAAGAGCAGAAGAAAACGACGGAACTTAAGAATTCAGCATGACACCAAGCAGTCTGTACTTCCCTCCACACCCTCCACCAAAGAAAACAATCCTTAAGCTGACAAGGGGTAAGGAACCACCACTGTAAGAGTGGGAAAGCTCTACTGACAACGGATTTCTTAGTGTCTTGTTTGTAGTGTCCTCCCGGCTTGGCACTGCCTTGGCTTCCCCCTTCACCTCAGCCCAGCCTTATTCAGTTGCCTGAAGGTTATTCACTGGTCTTAAACGATCTTGATCATGTGGCCTCTAGAAGGTTTGAGAACGTACATAGCTCTGCATGTTTTTTAATTGGCATCTAAATTTTTTTTCCACGTTAAGTTTGAACAGCTGCAAAAGGTGTAATTTCTCGGATATTAAAAATATTGATCTTTTTAATAATAAAACTATAATATCACTCTTTAAAGGGTTAAAATTTTATTCTAGAATAAGTATTATAATCTATAACTTGCAGAATTAGCATTATAATTAATACATAATTAGTGGATCAAAAGACTTCAAATTGCTCATTTGCCTGGCCCCCCAGAGGTTATTATATCACAGGCTATCCCACCAGAGGTCATCACATCAAAGGTTACTACTACACCTGAGGCTCTTAGACCTGAGGCCCTCACACCAGCAGTCATCACACCAGAGGCTATTATCAAACCACATTAACACTCAGGACAAGAGGGAGGTGTGTCTTTTGGCTGGAAAGGGGATGTGGGAAAGGAAAATATGCTTGAATCACTGAAATTAATTTTTTCCTAACAGAGCATCAATTTTTTTTTTTTTTGCGGTACGTGGGCCTCTCACTGTTGTGGCCTCTCCCGTTGCGGAGCACAGGCTCCGGACGCGCAGGCTCAGCGGCCATGGCTCACGGGCCCAGCTGCTCCGCGGCATGTGGGATCTTTCCGGACCGGGGCACGAATCCGTGTCCCCTGCATCGGCAGGTGGACTGCCAACCACTGCACCACCAGGGAAGCCCAGAGCATCAGTTTTTGAAGAACAGAAGTACAGCTAACATCGACTGTTTTGTGCTGTGTCTACTCCATCAGGTTTAGGCAAACAAGCTTACCACAGACTGCCCAAAGACTTGAGAGAGCTCCTCAGATGCAATCAGATCTCTTAAAAGAAAGGGGCATTCCTTCCTAATCAGTAAATACACCTAAAATTAAAACAAATATTGTGTAACAATCGTATTATGAGTCAGATGATGTTAACAAAAACATCGCCCATAAAGCAAGTATCTACAAATGAGAGGACAAAAGTACCGAAGACACTGACGTTTTTGATCTCATAATCATTCAAAAAGAAAAATATTTAAAAAATCTATGCTAAGTGATTGTATAGGAAAACAATACTTAAAATCAAGAAATCTGAGCTAAACTGCAAAACAGGTTAATGTTCTTTCTGATACTTTACTGGACCAACAACGAAAGAGTCCTCACACTTACGTCACCCAGGGCTCGCTCCAGACATGATGTCAGCTTCATTAAGCTAAGAGAAATAGCAAGAGATTGAAGACTTCCCAAGGCATCAAACATTTCAGGAAATAACTGTTTAGAATAAGACATATGTTAGAATTCGTGTTCAGTAAGTATTATTTCTCAAAGGCACAGTTCTATTAATGAAGTTCAAACCTCTGATGATTTCAATTGGCATATTTTAATGACTTTTTTGGTATAGGTAAACATTTTCTATATAACAATATCCAAAGAATCAGAGAGATGTTTAACTCGTTAGACGTTCAATATCTAAGGAGCTTTTGGAAAGTTCTTTATTTACTTAAATGTTTATTAAAAGCAATACATCTGGCGTAACTGTAAATTGAAAGATCAAATATTTTGACCTAATCTTATTTCCCATTTTGATTAGTTCTTAAAAATAGGTAAACATAAGGCAGCTCAGCCTGCCACTTAAGGGAGCTACTACACAGGGAAAATGGAACACCCTTGACCCTCCATTAGGAAATCCAAAGTATTTTAGAATTAGACTCTTTTATAGTTACTGCTCTACTGTAATAATTTAATGTTCCAAGTGAAATGGTTGGTTTGAACCAACCACCAAACCAACCATCAAGCCATCCAAAACAAGGTTTGGGCCCCAAGCAATTCCTCCTCCCTTCTATTCGCCCTCAACAAGCCAAGCATCCCTACCTCCGGTCTCCCGGTCCCACCGTCTCAAGAACACCTTACTACCAGTCTGTAAAGTCTTTCTTTTTTTCTGGAGCTGTCCATTTTTCTCTGTCCCAGGACCAGCACCCATGCACCAACCCACGTCCCTAAACCCCAATCCTGACACTGCATCCAAAAACTTCCTTTGGTCAAAGGATGTCTCAGCTCAGGCTCTGCGGGCTTTGCCAACAGCTCCAACTTTGCCTTGCAACACTCAAGCCTTCTTACAGCTGAGGGCCCAGAGGATGGAGGAGACCCCTTTAAAATCAGCAAGTACTAAGGACCTCTAAGTGGAATCTGAAGTCTTTTATTTCTAAAGGTTGTTAAAAAGCCGAACCTCTGGAACACCTGTCCACTGGAACCCCGATGAATATCGCGTCTCAAATTGCCCCTTGGTCAGAGACGACAGATGTAAGTGGACAGCCTGGCACACAGGGCCCAGCAGCCTCACGCTTCCCCCGTAATCCAGACCCTGGGCTTCAAGGATAAGAAAGCAAGTTAGTACCACAGCTCCACATCGTGTGATGCAAATGCCTAAATCATCAAAGAAAAAGGGCTTTAATTACGAAATTTCCATAAAGTTGGCAACCAGTTTATAATTGGACTTACAATAAAGATACTCATGTTGTTGAAAATAAGTTACATAGTGTTTATCTGCTTATAAAAGAAAAACTCTCATTAGCGAGTTTGAAAAATAAAGGTTCAAATATTTTTTCATTTTTTCAATCTCTTTATCTGTATATAAGTTTGTACAAAATCAGCTTCATGTTGTTATATATAATATTTTAACTTGACTTTTTAATGTAACATTATTAGACTATGAGATTTCCAATGACATTATTAATAATTATTATTATTATTTTGGAACGTATTTAGAATATGAATTTTTGGTTTTGTTGTTTTGATAAGTTTTGGTTGAACATTCACATGGTTCACGACCAAAAAATATAAAACGGTGAAAGTCTCCCTCCTGCCACCAGTTCTCCTTCCTATAGCAGCTACTGTTATAAATTCCTTGGGTGTATTTAGAAATATTTATACATACACAAGCAAATAATATATGTATGTGCTCCTCCTATTTTTTCACTCAGCCATACAGCTCAGAGAGATTTCTGGATCAGAAAGATGGGCCTCCTCACTCTTTTTCACCACTGCATAATATTCCCTTGCATGCATTTTTTTTTTTTCCCCATAATTTATTTAATCAATCCACTACTGCTTGACATTTGGCTATTTCCAGTCTTTTTTCTTTCTTTCTTTCTTTCTTTTCTATTACAAAATGCTGCAGTAACTTGGCACAAACACACGTTCATACCTGTGACTGGGCCTGTCTTGTACGTTCCTGGACAGAATTGCTGGGCCACAGCACATTCCCTTATAATTTTTACAATTATTATTATTTTTCCCATCCCACATCCCTACTTCAAAAGACATACAAGAATGCCTGGAAGACATTTAAAATAATTGTATATATCACTGGTCATTCTACACCCTTAATTCTTATGACTTCTATCTTCTTCCCTCTTCCACCTGGATCACAGGCCGTAAGCTGAGAGCCCCTCAGCCCTCACTGCCTCCCGACCCCTTCCTCCTCACACCTGGTTTTCAGAGCCCAGCTTTCCCTTAACTCTCCTATGCTTCTCTGCCTCATTCCCTCTTTCCACACCGATTCCTTTTCTCTTTCAAATTAAGGCTGTACTATAACATCTCCTAACCCAAAAAGCAATGAGCAGAGAGGGAAATTTTACAGGTCAAGACATTTTAAATGCAACAGTATTGACGGGCATTTGGGCTTCAGAGAAAGTACAAACCTGATTCTGTATAAACCACACAGTCTGTAATTGTCGTCCAGCATACTTCACCATTTTGAGTTACAATACTACTGATATCGCAATTTTCTCTGGCTTCAAACCCGAGTTTACAAATCATATCATACACTGAAGGAGAAAGACACGTGGTAATAGGATCCTCTATTAATATCTGAAATATAAAACATAAAACACTGTTTAACATGAAGTAAAAATTAATTTTAGTATATATTTAAGTCACATGAAAATTCTATTCTGTCTATTCTGAGTATAGAATATACTCAGGTATAGCTACTGCGTTAATACACTTTCCGAATGTCATGAGAACTATATGATTAAAACATTGTGATTAAATGTTAACTAAAGATTACTTATGCAAATATTTCCAAGTAAATGCTTAAAGATTTTTAATTACTTTATTAATCATAGTATTTAAGAATTTACAGAAGCTCAGTATATTTTATGGATAGTGCCTTATTCCTTTCAGCATTCTTTTGCTATCCCAAAGTTATCAAAATAAGCATTTTTTAATGAGGAGTGGGAAAACAGAAAATCAAGCATAATGAGTTAAAAGAGAAGCAAAAACCATAACTCTGACTCCCTATATGGTGTAAAAAGCAGCACACCACACTGCTTTTCCATGAAGGATTAAATAAAACCAAATTTTCATAATTTTCCCGACATTACATGAAGCTCATCTTATAAAGCTGCAAAGAGATCACATTCTAGGTCTAAAACTGACCTGGGGTCTTTATGTGATGTACCAAGTTCAGGGGTCTCTGTGTTCTAACATCAGTAAGTCCTGGCAGCTCCCTGATTTGGAAGCCAGCCACCTTAAGTTCCTCCATCCCAGTCAGCATCACCCTGTTATCCTGCCCGCTATTCCTGTCCCCAAAGGCTTCACTTCCCCCTCTCAGGCCTGACTGTCAACCAATCCTTTCAGGCCCTAGCAGGTGAGGTGCTGCCCGAGAGACTCGTGTGGAATGTTCAGTGGTCCTCTGGGACACCTGCTCAGCCAGTCGGTGCACACCCCTAGGAGCACTGCGGGACGGCAGGGGAGAGGGGACTTGCTCCCGCTGCCTGCAGCCTGGGGCTTCCTGTGCGCTTCCTATTCCTTTGAGCACCGCCCTGCAGCAGCAGCTGAACTCAGTCTGCAGTCTTCCCGACACCTGTAGGCCCAGCTTTACCACCGAATGCCCACCACAGACACACCACCATGCGTCAGTGCCTTCCCTTCAGAACTCTGTTTCCCAGACTTGCCAGGCCCTTACACGTAGCTGGGCAGCACAGTTTCCTCCTTAGACCCCTGAGTTTCAGCCAGGCAGGGGCCCTCCTCTAAGTTTCTAAGCTCTAAAATTCCGACCACTTCCCTTAGCTCCCTCAGTCCTAGGGGGAGTGACTGCTTCCCGCAGCTGCCGTGTCCACAATACTACTTGCAGAGATCCCTTTTTATCTTTTCAGATAACTAGTTAACAATTTTTACCTAGTTAACTCTTTATACCAAATTATCTTAGTGCAAAAACTAGTGTGGTTTGTCTCTGGACTAACACAGAAATATAACTCTAAAAGGTCACATTCACATCAAAAGGGACTCCTTGCATTTTTAAAAAGGATTCGAACTCTAAAGGAATGAGCTGTAGTTCTGGAGTGACAGGTGACAGACAGAAATGATATTTCTGCACAAAAGCCCATCTACTCCACTAGCAGAGTGGGCCCTGGATTTGGCACCTGAAGTTGTAAAAAGGGTTCCTTTTGGTTGTAGGCACTGGATCGACACAGTTGTCCCTCAGACTCAACCAAACAGTAAGATCTTAGAGCACAGAGACCACGCCTTATACAATGCTGTAACCCCAGGACACAGCATAGACCCTGGCACACAATAAATGAAAAATAAGAGTTACATGAATGATTGGCTCCTCCTACCCTGAGCTGCAATACACCCCTCCAGGTCTCCAAGACCTTCAGATCTGAGGAATGGCTATATGCTACCCCTACCAACACACATACAATTCTACAAGTTGGCTTCTAGGTTAACTTTTAAGCCCATACTCTGTTGGACAATAAAATCCAACCTCAAATCAACAAACATTAGATGCTGCAATGCTCTGTCACTCATGACAATAAATACATCATCCTGTGTATTACACTCAGGAACATGCCTGTCCCCCCCCCAGAAGCCAGAAACCCTGCATGTTTATGTACATGTGTGTGCACCTCCCACGCCCTTTTTGATACTTCAGTGTCTTGTCCAGAGCAGCATGGGGTAGTGCAAACGGCCTGTGCTTGACAGCTAGAATGATCTGAGTTTGAATCCTTTCTCAGACTCTTTACCTCTTGCCTTGAAAACGTTACTTAACATACCCGAGGCTTTTAACTGTAAAGCGGTGCAAAATATTATCGCCTTCTCTGGTTGCAGTAATTAGAGATGATACTTGAAAAGCACCTGGCACACAGTACTCAGAAAGTAGCAGCTAGTGCTAAAACTGCTGACAGATGGCTGACATTGAACTCCCTGAGGCAGGAATGTAAGTAGAATCCTTATTTTGAGGCAACCCCACTGAATCCGATCTACGGTCAGTTAATGAGGCCCTTGTGATTTAGTTTTACGTTATCAAAATGGCCTAAAAATGTCCAATGTAATTCTGACTTGCAAATGTGAGCCAGAGGCGAGTATTCCTACACATACTTCCCACACTGCTCAGGGTACCACCTAGCGAAAACTTCCCTTGGGGCGAAAGCCAGTCAGAACAAAAACTATAACCAACGGCGCGTTGTGCGTGCACGACCCGGCCCCGGTGAACAGCTCCGGGCCGTGGCTGTCGCGGCCACAGAGCCTCCACACGCGCGCAAGGCGTCCCCTCGGCCCCCACACCACGTCCTCGCGGACTGCAGCCGGGACCTCGAGCCCCAGGAACGACGTGGGGACGGGCGGCGCCAAGAAGCAGGAGGGCGGGGCGGGACGGGTCCAGCAGGCGCCACCCAGCGCAGGCACGGCCGCCCTCCGCCGCGGCACCGGCTGCGGCCCGGACGGCGCTTCCCGCGCCGCACCCCGAGGGGCGCGCTCAGGAGAACCGGCGACTGCAACGCTACCTCCATGACTTACGGCTCCCGTCCACGGCGCCGAGGGATGACGCAGGCCACGCCATTCCACGTCACGTTACGTCACGGCCCTCCCTGCGGCGCACTTCCGGCTCCCGCGGCGCAGGCGCGAGCGAAACCCTGTCGCGGAAATAGTCCGCGAGAGCCTGCGCGATGGAGAAGCGGGGCTGGGGTGGGAAACCGCCCTCGGCCGCGGCGCCTCAGCAGCCGCCGATGATGCCTCGGAAAGAGAGGAGGCCTAGCATGTTCGAGAAGGAGGCAGTGAGTGAGGAGACTCGGGACGAGGGCCAGCCCCTAGGCTGCAGAGCTCCGGCTTTTGTGGTGTAGACCCTAGACCACCGCGCTGACTGACTGAAACAGCTTCTTCAGTTCTCTTCAGATTTGTTCAGCCCAGGTTTCCTAAGAGGCGCTTTCCCCAGAAATACGTAATTTTAGTGTGTTTAGCGCCACCACACAAACCGCAGCTTTACCAGCCAGAAGTAGGTGTACGTGTGCTGTGCTTCAAAATAATAATAATAATATTTGGATTGGATATACCAAGCAGAACAATAAGGATTTTACCAAGCAGAACAATGAGGTATATTGGATATACCAAGCAGAAAAAACAATGAGTTTTTGTAAACAGCAGCAGCCTCACTATTTGAAGAACGTACGAGAAAGTTAAATTGAAAATAATTCTGTTCATTAACTTACTGTCTGAAATTAATGCAAAATGACATTCACTTTTATTGGTGGTGTAACACCATGATTTCTGTATGAGCATAGTGTGAAAACCATTACAGTACAAAACTGTAATCATAGAGCTGGGACTTCTGGTCCACTTGCCTATAATTGTTTCTTTTCATACCTACTTCGTGGGACCCATAATCAACAGGATGAAGGAGAGATAATAGGCAAAACACTAATTTTTTTTTTTTTTTTTTGCGGTACGCGGGCTCTCACTGCTGTGGCCTCTCCCGTTGCAGAGCACAGGCTCCAGATGCGCAGGCTCAGCGGCCATGGCTCACGGGCCCAGCCGCTCCGCGGCACGTGGGATCCTCCCAGACCGGGGCACGAATCCGTGTCCCCTGCATCGGCAGGCGGACTCTCAACCACTGCGCCACCAAGGAAGCCCAAAACACTAGTTTTTGAAGATCCTTATTTCAAATAACAGAATCCTTCTCAACACCCCCCCCCAAAAGTCATGGCAACATTTCAGGTTCTAATGACTGCTCTTTGGTGTCTACATTTTACAGAGGAAAGAGAAACAAAAGGAGGAAAAGTAAATAGGGCAAGTTCTCAGAACCAAGCAAAAGCACAGCAAGGCCAGAAACCTTAATATATTGGATTTTAAATTCATGCTCCCAGAAACTTTGTTGTATTGCCTCGTAATAAGTCTGAGAAAAAGATAGGTCGCCTGCAGTAATGAAAAATATTTGTATTTTGATGTGCCTTTTATAAACTTACTGTCTACTGAAGATCTGAAGTCTTGAAAAGTGAGGAAGTCTGAATCCAAAAGGAGGGACGACAGATAGGTTCACTTGGTATATAGGCCAGAATCTGGGGAAAAGGGAACATGGACCAAGGCAGTTCTTGCTTATTTGCTATGAATGTGATTAACCATAGCTGCCTTTAAAATCTGGGCTTCTACAGGTAAGAAATTTGAATTGGGAAGAGACTGAGAAAAGATTTCACAAATGCTCACTAAATGTGCCTGAGGGCAGTGAGTCACTAATTAGTCATTCCTAACTTTCAGGTAGCTGATTATTCTCATGATCCTGAGCATAAGAAAGATTAGGACACACAATTTAATGGTTATAAATGTTTTTTGATTTTCTCTCTCGTGCATCCATTTATTTTCTTCTACTAGTAGCAACTCAGTTTTCCTTTGGAGAATTAACTAATTCCCTATTGGATAGAGTTTTGGTGGGACTGTCAGTCACCTTCCTTAACTTTGTGGTGAGGATGAGACCAAAACTAGGCTGATTAGATGAACTCTTCCTGTAATAATTAAAGAAAATGATTGAGGTTAATTTAAATTGAAGGCGGCATACTGAACTGCCTCAAGTGTCAGACTCTTTAGGCTTCTCTTCCATTCTGTGAGCTACTCCATATCTTTCCAATTAGTTATGTATATGGTTAACAAAATTCCGTGCTTATTGCTTGCAACCAAAGATTCCAAAACCATAAACAAATTACTGAAAATTGAAAACTTGGTTAGTCTCACTTGTCTACGTACATTTGAAAATCTTTAATACTAGCAAACAGGTTTTAGAAATACATTAATGTAATGGCATCTCATGACCATGCTCTTTTTTTTCTAGGATTGTAGGCTCAACATAAGGAAATGCCATATCAATAGGTTAAATAATTAAACTCAGATTGTTTTAGTAGATACCAAAAAGTTCTTCATATTTAAAGCCTATTTCTAAGTTTTGGAAGTGACTACAAAGATTTTTCCTTAATTAAGAGATAAAATACTCTTAATAAAGAGAATACTAAATCAGAAAGCCAATATATATATGGAAGAAATGGCAGAGATGTGAGTTTTCAGCATATTAGGATCTCTGATTGTTATTTTTAAACCACAAATGCATGCCCTATCCCCAAGGAATTCATTGCAGTTGAGAGCCACTATTAATGATATAATATAGTTGTATCCCTTGGGTGTATTGTGAGAGGAAAAGAAGATGGCAGTACCCTGGAGAAGCATTCTATTAATCAAAAAGAACAAAATAAAGATTTCATTTTTAAGAGGTTTGGGGAGCTATAATGCTTCTCTTCCACAACTAAAACATAAAGCAGTCTGACAGATGATTAAAACAGCAGGTTTATTTCTGATTAAGGACTTCTACTAGAAGCCAACTCCTACCAGAAACTACAGAAAATTACACAAAATGTATGAAGTACTTATTTCCACTGGCTGGATGTAAGGCAAGACAGGATTGTGATCTTTGAGAGATTACAAACAAGAAAGGTGAGCCCCAAGATTTCCCCTAATGTACTGCCTGGTGAGGGCTTCCAGCCCATACCTTATGGAGATGTCTCCCTTAGTTGAGAATGATTTGGGAGTCAGGGTAGTTCAGGGTGATATAAGAGCAGAGTATTAGGAGAGAGCTGTACAAACAGTTCCCAAGATCTGCAGAGGATTTTCCTCAAGTCTTCAGCTTAGTACATCAGTGCATCTGTGAGGAAGTCAGGTGTGGCTAGAGAAAGAACCACCCAAAAGAAACAGAAAAAAATCCTTGGACTCACACAAAATAGTTTTTTTTTTTTTTTTCCCACCAGTAAGAATGGAAAACCATGTAAATCATAGGGCATTGGTTAGAGTGCTAAGAAGTGTATTGTCTAAGTATTGGGGGAAAAAGACCCTAGACTTAGGGTTTTCTCTAGTTCAGCCTATCAAAGCTTAAATTGGATTTTAAATTGCCTCGTAATAAGTCTGAGAAGGATTACAATGTTTCCAAGTTGCTACATTCTAGAAGAAAGCTCAAGAATGCATGTGGGAATACAAAAATATACAGCAAAAACGGAAGGTAAGATTCACAATATCTGGTATTTAATTAGCATACCTTCAAAGAAGCAGAATAGTACAACTCAAAATGGAGAGAAGAAACAAAACACCCAGAAATGATAAAAAGATAGTATAAAAGGACACTAAAGTGGTTATTATAAAATAGTTATTGTATTATATTAGTTTTCATCACATTAAAGCAGTTATAAAATACTGATATTATAAAAGAGTTAGTATGTTCTATTCAAGAATGAGGAGAGGGACTTCCCTGGTGGTCCAGTGGTTAAGACTCCATGCTCCCAATGCAGGGGGCCCGGGTTCGATCCCTGATCGGGGAACTAGATCCCACGTGCCACAACTAAGGATCCTGCATGCTGTAACTAAGGATTCTGCATGCCTCACTGAAGATCCTGCATGTGGCAACAAAGATCCTGCCGGTGGCAACAAAGATCCCGCCTGCTGCAGCTAAGACTTGGGCACAGCCAAATAAATAAATATTTTTTTAAAAAATCAGAAAAGATTAAGCGTGGTAAATCCAAATCAAACCTCTACAGGTGAAAAATATAATGTTGGAAATGTAAAATAAACAGTGGAATTAACAGCAGATTTGACACTGCAGAGCAGGCTTAGTGAATTTAGAGACAGCAATAGAAAATCTGACATGAGCTATGGGAAATTTCAGGCAAAAACTTTTATTGTCTTTGGAGTCCCTAAGTGAGGAGAGGGGACAAACTGACCAAGACTCGAGAGAAAACTCAAATAAATAAAATCAGAGATTAAAGAGAAGAAATTAAAATTGATACCACAGAAATACAAAAGATCATAAGAGATCACTATGCCAACTAGTTGGACAACCTAGAAGAAATGGATAAACTACTAGAAACATACAACCTTCCAAGACTGAGTCATGAAGAAAGAAAAAATCTGAATTGACTGATTACTAGTGAGGAGATTGAATCAATAATCAAAAACCTACCTAAAACAAAAGTCCAGGATCAGATGGCCTCACTGGTGGATTCTACCAAATATTAAAATAAGAATTAATACCAATCCTTCTCAAACTCTTCCAAAAAATAGAAGTGGAGGGAACACTTCCAAACTCATTTTCAAGGCCAGCATTACCCTAATACCAAAACCAGCCAAGGACACCACAAGAAAAGAAAATTATAGACCAGTATTCCTGATGAACATAGATGGAAAAATCCTCAACAAAATATTAGCAAACTGAATTCAATAGCACATTAAAGAGATAATACAGCATGATCAAAGGGAGTTTGTTCCAGGGATGCAAGGATGGTTCAACGTCTGCAAATCAATTAGTGTGATACACCACATTAACAAAATGAAGGATAAAAATCTCATGATCATTCAAATAGATGCACAATAAGATTTGACAAAAATTAACACCCATTTATGGTTTTTTAAAAAAACTCTCAACAAAGTGGTTATAGAGGGAATGTACCTCAGCATAATAAAGGCTGTATATCAAAAGCCTACAGCTAACATAATAATGGAAAAACTAAGCTTTTCCTGTAAGGTCAGGAAAAAGACAAGGATGCTCACTTTTGCTGTTTTTATTCACATAGTCCTGGAATTTCTAGACAGAACAATTAGGTAAGAAAAAGAAATTAAAGGCATTCAAGTTGGAAAGGAAGAAGCAAAATTGTTGCTTTTTGTATATGACATGATATTATATATAGAAAATCCTAAAGACTCTACCAAAAAAAAAAAAACATTAGAATTAAAAAACAAATCCAGTATAGTGGCAGGACACAAAATCAATATAAGAAATTCTGTTGGGTTTCTATGTGCTAATAATGAACTATCAGAAAGAGAAATTAAGAAAACAATCTCATTTATGATTGCATCAAAAAGAATAAAATACTTAGAAATAAATTTAACCAAGGAGGTGAAAGACCTGTCCACTAAAAACTGTAAAACATTGATGAAAAAAAATTGAAGACATAATAGAAGTATATTTCATGCTCATGGATTGGAAGAATTAATATTGTTAAAATTTCCATAGTATCAAAAGAACCTACAGATTTAATATAATACAATCCCTATCAAAATTCCAATTCCAATTCCAAAAAAAAATCTGATGAAAAAAGTGGGCAGAAGATCTGAATAGGTATTTTTCCAAAAAAGACATACAGATGGCCAACAGGTACATGAAAATATGCTCAACATTACTAATCATCAGGAAAGTTTCATATCAAAACTCACAACTGTTAGAATGGCTGTTAACAAAAAGACAAGAGGTAAGTGTTGGTGAGGATGTAGAGAAAAAACATTTGTGCACTGTTGGTGGGAATGTAAATTCATGCAGCCACTATGGAAAACAGTAGAGAGGTTCCTCAAAAAGTTAAAAATAGGACTACCATGTGATCCAGTAAGTCCACTTCTGGGTATTTATCTGAAGAAAACAAAAACACTAATTCAAAAAGATATATGCACCCTCATGTTCATTGCAGCATTATTTTCAATAGCCAAGATATGGAAATGACCTGAATGTCCAATGATGAGTGAATGAATGAAGAAGATATGGTGTATATATACAAAAAAGAGTGAAATCTTGCCATTTGCAAAAACATGGATGCGTCTCAAGTGCATTATGTTAAATGAAATGTCAGAGAAAGACAAATGCCATATGATCTCTCTTATATGTGGAAGCTCACAGATGCACAGAACAGATTGGTGGTTGCCAGAGATTGGGGTGTGGGGAAAGGGCTGGAGGGTGGGCAAAATGGGTGAAGGGGGTTAAAAGGTACAAACTTCAGTAAAATAATAATAATAATATGCTCGAGTGTGGTTTATTCCAGGAATGCAAGGTTGGTTTAACATTCAAAAATCAATGTAACTCACCATATTAACAAACCATTAGGGATGAAAAATAGGATGGAAATTGGTAACATTTCTACCTAAATTAAAGCAGCTCACCCAGTCATGGGTCTAGCTGGATGATGACATATATCTAAGATGATGTCCTATCTCTGTAAAGCATATGCAGTGGTGGAACAGAAAATATGTACTACTTATAATTAGATGTCAAGAGGAGAGGTGGGGAGATTCTGCACTAAACATGCTCTTCCTCTTCCTAACTTGCTTATCACATAAGCTCCCTCAGAGAGGAACAAATCAGAGGGCAAAGAAGGGGAACTATTGCTCCATAACAGTTTCTGCCACATAGAAACATCAATGGTAGAGAATAAATATTTTCCCATAGTATTCCTGGGAATATGATGTTTAATGTATACACTTTAAACTACTGGTCTATGAAGTAAGGTGTGAAAAATGAAGAGGAGTGATAGAAATATGTAGAACTGTAGGAAAATCAAGATGTAATAAACATTAAAATTAATAAAATTTTAGTAGGGAACAATGGTATTTTTATGTTATACAACTCCTAAAAACATAAAATGTGTTTTTAAATCACCTTAAATGGGACATTGAAAGAATATCACAGGAATTAATGCTTCAGAATAAATTGAAAGAAATTCTTGTAATATAAAAAATTAATTGTAAATAAAAGTTCTTCTGTAAATGCAGAAGCAAACCATGTTCCTGGTTTGAAACGCTATTGTACACTTATGAAGTTATTTATCATTAACATTATTTGTAAACAAGTATTTTAAACTATAAATTATTACCTCAGACCCTGATCTCCCTCTAATCTATTCACCGTACAGCAGCCACAATAATCTTTTAAAACTGTAAACTAGAAAATATCACTTGCCCGTTTAAATCCTTCCACTGGCTCCTCATTGTTCTGAGAATAAGTTTCAAATTCCTTTTCAAACTCTTAGTCCTGCATGATACCTTTTTGTTTTTAATGTATTTATTTTATTTATTTATATTTGGCTGCGTTGGGTCTACGTTGCTATGCGCGAGCTTTCTCTAGATGCGGCGAGCGGGGCTACTCTTCATTGCGGTGCGTGGGCTTCTCATTGCGGTGGCTTCTCGTTGCGGAGCATGGGCTCTAGGTGCTCGGGCTCAGTAGTTGTGGCGCATGAGCTTAGTTGCTCCGCGCCAAGTGGGAGCAGGACTCGATCCCATCTCCCCTGCATTGGCAGGTGGATTCTTAACCACTGCGCCACCAGAGAAGCCCCATGATACCTTTTTAACCTTATTCTGTTACTACTATTTTCCTCACTCTAAACGATCCAGACACACCAAACACACGTCTATTCTCAGAACATGTTCTTTGTCCTTCCTATTTCCTGTTCCTTTTAGACTTCAGCCCAAACCGGACTGAAGGGACGTCTCCAATTATTCAGTCCAAATTAGGCCCTCATGATGAGTTTCTATCAAGTCATGTGGTTTTGTTTGTATACCAATTACCACTATTTAAATTGGCTTATTCATTACCCTATATACGTTTTTATTGTCTGTCCTCCTCCCCACTAGAAGGATAACTCCATGAGTGCAGAGTCCTTGATTATGAGTTAATACAAGTAAAACAATTAATTCCTGGTTATTATAATGAAGTTCACCACTGTAACTTCAGAGCCTAGAGTACTTAACTGAAGCGTAGTAGCCACTAAATAAGTAGTTCTTTAAGACAGGTTGAATGTCATGCAATAAATGTTGAATGTAAAAAGCACAGAAAGATGTATATACCAAATCAATACACTTTTGTTATCTTTTCAATTTAAGGCTTAGAAATGTGTTATGTAAATAATTGTATTATTTATTCAAAGATAAAATAATTAAAATTATAAGAAGACAATAAAGGATAATATTTTCATAATGTCAGGGCAGGGAACATGAAAGGTTTTCCTTACATACCAGTCTTCTAGCCACTCAGTTGCCCTCTCAGGGGCCACTCTTGTTTCTAGTTCTTTTGCATCTTCCATGGATGTTCTAAATATATGCATTCAAATTTGTGTGTATTTCTGTTTATAGATAAATAGATAGATGACAGCTATATTCTTTTTTCTTCTTTTACCAAATTGATAGCCAGAAATGAATCTAGGATTTAGCAACCACACAATCATCGAAGTCTTATAATGGATTTCCAAGCTTTGTGTCAGTCCTGTCCCATTGCACCAGGGTTCTTAAAAACGAAATTTCATTTTACAATTAAAAAAGTAATCTCTCTCTCTCTGTCTCTCTCTCCCTCCTTTCAGTATGCACAGATTTTAAAAGAAAGACTGAGAGAATCAATTCATGATGTTCAGTACGTAGAGCCACCATTTGATGACGCAATTGCTGACATAGGTAAAGAATGGAAGAGTACCCTGGCCAAACTAAAGTTTGCTAATTCATATAGAATGGAGCCATTGAAAAAATTCCAGGCTTATTCAGTAGAAGCGAAAGTCCAGCAGATATTAAAGGTAGGTTGATAGATACATATGATAGTAATATCTTAGCTATGGGGGTTTGATAAACTATATTAAGATTTATGGCCGTATAGTTACCCTGATTGATTTTTTTGTAGCTTTTATCTCTGAAAATATGAAAGTACTTTGGAGTCATACTCAATAATCTTCATGTTGATGCTATGATTAAAGCTAGACCAAAAGGAATATTCTTTTGCTATTTCATTTAATTCTTAATTATCCATAAATTATTTATCCTTCAGGTTCCATGTGTCTCCCATATTTGGAGGAATGAATTAAAGAACACATATTGAATATGTGTGAAAAATTGATTCATGATGACGCTAAAACATCTTAAGAACAGGCAGTCCCCAATTTATGCATCGGTTTTCTTCTTCATTAAATCAGCTGGAATCTAAAGTTCATTTAGGACAGTTTGAAACTCAGACACATGTTTTCAGGCTAGTCCAACAAAGCTTCTTCAATTTTACAAAATTAATACTGTAATACGAATACCAATATTAATTATGCTAGTGTTGGTATCTGAAGACTACATGGTTCAGATGGAAAGAATTCCCTTCACCATCTTTCCTAATAAAGGGCCAAATTAAAAACTTTAATTATAGAATGTTTGTTTAAGGGACCACTTTTTCTGAATCCCCTTTTCACCTTTGGGCACCAGGCACCCAGGATTTTTCTGATGACCAGATTCCCTTTGTGGGACTCTACCCAGCCTAATCTCCCTCCCCCACCTCTAATTTACAAGATGCACTCCTTTAGTAATAACTGATGTAAGCTAGCTATTGGGAAGAAAGCATATGTTTAGTTTATTCTGTATAAATGATTAATGGCCCTTTAATTGTATCAAAGTTAATTCTTAAATGAATTAACCTTTATTAATACAGAAGAATATTTAGGAAACCCACCCTCCAACCTCCCTCCACCACCATAGACATAGATACATTTCTAAGCTGAATTAATAATTATCAGATAATATTTGGTAAAGATATTATGGCTTATAACTTCAGGAAATAAATTCAATACAATAAAATAATTATTAATTCTCTGATCTAAACACTAATAGCAAGCATTTGTGATTGAGTATACATTTTGGTGTGTCACTCAGCCTTACTACATAGACTGAGTTCAAGTTTATTGACTATAGTAGAATTTCAAATTGTGTTTGCATGTGATAGCTTATAGAACTGCATTGAGCATGATGGGGTCTGGAACAGCTAATTGGAAATATAGGTGGAAGGCTAGGGGTCATAGAGAGGCCGGGGATTTTCCTTTGCGTTTAGGGAGCATTGAACACAGTTCTAGACACAGAAACAGTATATACTGATGGAGCTTATAGGTATCTTCCTATAGCACGTGCTCTTTATTTATTAAAAATGAACACTTATGTAGATAAAGCCTGGGATCTCTTAGGCAGATTCAGAAGGGAGAATGGATGTCGCTAAGTGTCCAAAAGATTGAGCCAATTGCCTGAAGGAACTAAATTCTTCTAGACCCAGTTTAGATCCAGAACCATTCTAGGAGGGAACCAAAACCAAAAAATGGGTAATTTATTTGGTTTTACTTGCCTATAAAATTACCAGGTAGGCATCCATTTGTTGTCATTAGAACTCAGAACATTGGTTAATTTATCATTGGTCTGAGTCAGTTAATCAAAGCCAGGCACCACCTGCTCACCAGCTGGTTCAGGTCTGCTTATGGTTTGTAGGAAAATGTAGTCCTTCATGGCCCACATCTGTCTCCCCGCCTGCCCCCAGCTATATATTAACTTAGTAACAAACATGAGAAATCTTTGATTTCCTTGATATTCTCCTGGAGGCCACAGAAAAAAGCAGTAGAGTGAGAAGCCATAGAAGCAGAATTAGAAAGAAGTGGCCTTTAATTTGTGGAGACAAGAAGACAGGAATAGGGACTTCCCTGGTTGTCCAGTGGTTAAGACTCTGCCCTTCCAATGCAGGGGGTGTGGGTTTGATCCCTGGTCGGGGAACTAAGATCCCACGTGCCACGTGGCCAAAAAAAGAGACAGGAAAAACATAATGCAGGCTCTGCTCCTGAATTTTAGCAAATACATAAATTTGAAAAACATTTAAGATTCTCTACCTAAGAATTCCTAGAAGCTTTGTTTTAAAATTCCTCTTGTGTCTCCCTAGTAACTGCTTGGCACAGTAATCCAGTAAAGGAAAACTTAAGCTTAAGGGTTGCTAATGAAGGGCAACTGAACATAATTTAGAAACCAAACTAGGGCCTCCCTGGTGGTGCAGTGGTTAAGAATCCACCTGCCAATTCAGGGGACACGGGTTCAAGTCCTGGTCTGGAAAGATTCCACATGCTGTGGAGCAACTAAACCCATGTGCCACAACTACTGAGCCTGTGCTCTAGAGCCCGTGAGCCATAATTACTGAGCCCACGCACCACAACTGCTGAAGCCCGCATGCCTAGAGCCCATGCTCTGCAACAAGAGAAGCCACCTCAATGAGAGGCCCGGGCACCACAACGAAGAGTAGCCCCTGCTCCCTGCAACTAGAGCAAGCCCACGCACAGCAACAAAGACCCAATGCAGCCAAATATTAAAAAATAAGTAAATAAATAAAACTAAATTTTCTTCAAAATTATTATTGAAATAAATTGGTAAACATATCAACCATTTAATATTACTTGGTTAGAAATATGTATGTTTTTCAAAAAGTTATATGTATTAATCAGACACATTTTCTACTTCAATTTTTGTTTAGAAAATATTTGGTTTGAAAATTAAAATATTTTTCTTAATTTTTTTAAAGGAAAATCTTAAAGATGTCAAATATGATGAAAAAGTCTTCTCTCATTTGTCGCTTGAATTAGCAGATCGCATATTGTTAGCAGTCAAAGAATTTGGGTTCCACCGTTATAAGTTCATTATAAAAGTATTACTCATTCAAAAGACGGGTCAGGCAATCAATGTAAGTACCTCACTGATCAGCATCTACCAAGTTCAACTATGAGGTCTCCCCTCTAAGTGACTTGATATTTATTGCAATGTCTCAAAGGCACTTCCAGATCCTGAGGTGCACCTTGACTGAAAGGATAATTATGTGAACTATATTTTCTTTCACTATGAATTATTTGAAAAATACTAAGCTAGAAATGGTAATTTTCTGTTAATAATTTATTAAATTGTATGGGTATTCTGTTCCTTGACCATAACAGTTTTGACAATTTAATGTCATTTAATAATTGATTAACCAGTAAATTGATTTAGGGCACTAAATAATAGGTATAGGTACTGAGGAAAATACAGAAAATTATATGACATGGACCATGATTGCCAAGGAGTTTTTACTCCAGTCAAGAAAATAAAGCAACACAGTTTAGAGTGTAAGAAAATAAAATGATACAGAGAATGTAATAGCCTAGGTTTTAGCGTCCAGTTGGCCTGGATATGAATCCTGGCAGCAACACACACTGCCTCTGGCCTGGACATAGTTTTTTCTTCTGTAGAATGGGGACGATAAAACCTACTTGCTTATCCGTATTAAAATCCTTAACAGAGTGCCCAGCCCAGAGTCCTCAATAAACAGAAAGGCTTATTTTTTTTATTCAATAAATATTTATTGAGCCATTCCTACATGAGAAAGGCTTATTACTATTACTTACAAGTAAGATTGCAATACCCCGAGAGCTGTGTGCGTTTCTAGCGAGTTGAGCGTGAGTGTGTGGGGTGGGACAGTCTGAGGGGCTCCATGAGGAAGCCTGGCGGGAGGACTTGGCTGGGCGGAAGGCTGCCGTCCACAGGGCAGTCAGCAAGGCTCTGGGGAGGACAGAATTACACCACAGCCTACGTGCACACTCGGGGAGCGAGACGCTTCCAGATAGTGACGAGTGCTCCACGGACGGAGTGACTACTTGGGATTGTCTGGGGACGGGGAAGGGCCTCTGATGTCTGAATGACAAGAAGAAACCAGCCGTGCCAAAGATCAGGGAGAATGTCCAAGCAGAGAAAACACGGAGCGCAGAGACGCCAAGATGGGCGAACTCGCTGTGCTTGGCTAATAACCAGAGAGGTTGCGGTGTATTTAGGCAGCCCCACCCCAGCATTTAGCAGCCTATTTGCTCACCATTCTGTGGGTCAGCTTAGCCTGGATTAGCTGTTTAGATTTTCTGCTGGTCTCACGGATGCTCTGGTAGCCATCCAGTGACTCGGCTGGACCTAGACGTCCACGACAGCCTCACTCACAGGTGTGACAGTTGGTGCTGGCTGTTGGCTGGGGCACCTGGGTCCCCCTGCACAGGAGCCATCATCCTCCAGTGGACTGAATGGGCTTCCTTACATGCGGGGCTCCTCACAGCATTCCAGGAGGTGAGAGCACAAGACCTCTTAAGGCCTTTCTTGGAAGTTGCAGTGTTACATTCTTTTGCTCAGAGCAAGTCCCAAGGCCAATTCATATTCACAGGGTGGAAAAATAGACAGCCTCTTGATGGGAGATGCCACAGAGGGTTTTTGACCATTTTAGAGCCACCACAGAAAAGGATTATGTGTGGCTTTGCAGGTGAAGCAAGGAATTAGGGTTTCTCTTTTAACAGCCTGCTCACAGAGTCAATACCATTTTTTAATTTCAAGACAAACTTTCGGTCGAAAATCTTTTAAGGGTGGGAAGAATAATTCCTTATTACGGACTATAACACCGCAGAGTAGTACTGCATGCAGAACTACTAGACCCAGATTACAGAGTGCCTCCTGTTCCTGCCCCCGGACACTCTCTGCTAAGGGAGGGTCATTCTGTGTTAGATAACGTACCAGCTCCAGTAAAAGAAAAGATGGACCCAGGAAGCATCACTGTCAAGTCTTTTCAGCAAAGGGAAAATTGGACAAATTACTTTTAAAATATAACTTTCTGAGATAGTGATGCATCTTCTAAACAGTATCAAACATTGTATAGAGTTAAAAATTACTACTTCGCATGTTCGATCTAAAGTGGGTCTTCTAAACGTTTCTCTCATAGACTGCCAGCAGATGGATCTGGGATGTGGCGTGGGACAGCTGGGTTGCTGCGAAACACGAAACTGAAACTTACGTGGCATTGGCCTTAGTATTTGCTCTTTACTGTGAATAGCTTGTTACATGTACTAAAGAGTGTTTACTTCTCAACTTTTCAAAAATACATGAAATTTATAGATTTGTGAACCTCATAGTAGTTTTGATTAGCTATATTTTTATATCTCCAATTGAAGCTTCTTACTCGTATTCTTTTAACAACAAAGTTAAAGCTGGATTTCTACCTTTATACTTACTAGTTATCATATTTATTAACATTGTATTACCCCGAAGTATAAAAGTATAAGAGGTATATGTATATGCCTTTTTCATGTATATGTACGAATACATGAATGCTTATGATGGATTATAATAGGGGGGAATTATTTATCATCCTAGTTAGGTTTAAGAAAATTAGAATTTGCTACAGGATATTATGATGCAACCTTGTAAAATGTCAAATTAAGTAAATGTTAAGATAGATTTTTGGAAAACTCCCAAAGGCAGATATTTTGAATGGTATCTTAATATACTACAAGCATTCTTTTGAAAGAAGTCACCAAGTTTGAAAGAAAGATATTGATATATTTAATACTTCCCTAACACCTCTCCCTCCAATCAAAACACTTCCAAGTGTGCAGTCTTTCTATTTGCTAGTCCATTAGTTAAGCTCTTTTTAGCTGCAAGAACCGAAAAACCTGACATAATTATTTTTTAAAAAGAAGAAAATTGTATTTCTCAGGCATTTGATCAAGGATCCGGGTTCTTTCTGTCATCCTGCGCTCCCCTCAGATTCTATGTACACGAGTTTAACTTGGTAGAATTAAACCATGTTCTCATGGCTTTATCATCATGATTCACTCCCTGAGCTGGGTTGGAGCTCACCTTCCCTGAAGCACACGGCCATGTGGAGAATGGATACCACTGTCAATCGGGGCTTCTCCTGCAAGGAGGCAGGGGGTGGGCTTGGTGAGCCAAGTAGTAATGTCTGTGATAATTCATACTATTTTCAAGTTATAGTCAGAACTTGAAAACGCATGCCAAACTTAATGGACAGTAAAAATACTGATTAGTTGAATAATCTATAAACAGGAAAACAGAAAGACAGAGGAGAGTTTTCTTTTCACTTGTGTGTTTTAATGCGTTGGATAATCCAGGACTGGCAGTTCCATACTATACAGCATAGACATGATAGCTGTAGCCCAAAGAATCTTTAAAACAGGATTTATTGTTTGCTAACTTTGGTCACAGAAAAATCAGTAATAACAAACCTACGAAGGGCTTCTGTTAAGCAATGTTCCTTCCTGATGACCTCCTCAGGATAAGCACACTTCCCGGTATAGAGCAGATGCTTATAAACGTGACTTTGTAAAGTGAGAATTATGCCTTCCTCCTAGGGTTGGTTTGTGAATTAAGTGAGGTAATATATATAGTCAGGCACTTATGCCCAGCACTTAGCATAACCCTGGAGCATACCAAATCCTGAAATGTTACCTGTTATCATTCAGTTTGACAGCTCAGAATTACCTTCAGTTCTGCTTTCCCTTGCCCTTGTCCCAACCCCCATTCCTACTTAATTGTTAAATTCTATGGATTCTGTTTTTTTTTTTTGAAGTGACTCAAAATCATCCCCTTGGGACTTCCTGGGCAGTCCAGTGGTTAAGACTCCCCCTTCCGGGTTTCCCTGGTGGCGCAGTGGTTGAGAGTCTGCCTGCCGATGCAGGGGACACGGGTTCGTGGCCCGGTCCGGGAAGATCCCACATGCCGCGGAGCGGCTGGGCCCGTGAGCCATGGCCGCTGAGCCTGCGCGTCCGGAGCCTGTGCTCCGCAACGGGAGAGGCCACAACACTGAGAGGCCCGCGCACCGCAAAAAACAAACAACAACAACAACAAAAACACACTTCCCCTTCCAATGCAGGGGGTGAGGGTTCCATCCCTGGTGGGGGAGCTAAGATCCCACATGACCCACGGCCGAAAAGCCAAAACATAAAACAGAAGCAATATTGTAACAAATTCAATAGACTTTAAAAAATGGTCCACCTCAAAAAAAAACCTGCTGTGATATCTCTTGCCTGGGTCCTCACTCTCTCACAACTATTTCGATAGTCCTTCTTTTATTTATTCACGTGTTAATTGTTTTGTTCAACATATGTCACCACAGAAATCTGAATACCCCCTAATCTGATTCCCTGCTTCTCAAAGCTTTATAGCAGGTTATTGACCATCGTTTACATGGTTCACAGAACTCCTCTGTCATCCCACCCGCTCCTCCAGATGCATTCCGAGTTTCTTTCCTTAACAAGGACCTGACTTTTCCCTGAGGAAGAGTCCCACTGCAGCCCTCTCAAGTAAAAGCTAGTTTTTCTCTCATCCCTCATCGCTAATGCCTCAGAGCCAGGAGGTAGGTAGGCAACCCCACTGACTAAAAAGCTCAGGCTCCTGGAAATTTATGCTATCTGGATATACAGCTCTTTACTTCTGTGTGTCATTGCTGCCTACTAGTCCCCTGGCCTGTTCCTTCTCATTTCTTGAAAACCTGAGCTACTGGATTGCAAGCTTCATCTCCACTCAACTCCTGCTGTCATTCTTTGTGACTTCAATATCCACGTAGATAATCATCCAATAAGGCAGCTCTCGCTTTGCACAAGTTGTAGCTACTACAGTTTAGTTGAATCACACCAGTCCCCCAACAACATGGTTCACATTTCAGTGACCACAGTATATTAACCGTGAGTAACTTCATAAAGTACAAACTCCTCAGCCAGCTCTTCAGTCCTCAAGTCACTACGTAAATAGCAGGTGGGTGTCACAAGCCTTCTGTCAAAGTCCGTCAGTCACTGGTCACTGCACTTCTGGTATTCAGCTCTTCAGGTCACAAGACAGCAAAGCATGTAGTTGTGTTGCCTCCTTGTCTCCCAGTGACAAAACCACATGATGTTTTACAAAAATGGACCACCAAAAGAGGAAATGGGGCAAAAAAAAGGTGAAAGTGCATCAAAGAAGAAGTGATGATGCTAGAAATGAAATTCGTTAGGAAATTTGAAATGACAACAGCAAAACCAAGATAGGATGAGACCTAAGCCCCCGTGGAAGTACTGCAGGAATCATGGGGAGAACGTCCAATAAGTAAGAAAAGTAAGGTGAGGTTGCGTTAACATCTTTTAGCTTAAATTATCTAGGAACAGAAAGCCACTTGTGGTTGTGAAAGACTTCCTTCTACTTTGGATAGAAAACTGTACGGTATCTGCTGTTCCACACCTGCGGATTTAACCAATGGCAGATGGTGTAGTAGTGTAGATATATTTAGTGAAAACAATCTGTATAAGTGGACCTGCACAGTTCAAGTATCAACTGTAATAATAATTAAAAAAAAATCTCAATCAGTTTGGCTAGCATTCAGGCCAAAGCGTTGAAGTTAGTAACTCTGTTGAAAGAAAACTGTAATTACAAAGAGACAGAAAACCAACCTTTTTCTGCAAGTAAAGGCTGGTTCCATCATTTTAGGCGTCGACATGAACTGATTCATGTCGATCTATCTGGTGAATCTGCTGTGAAATATGCACCCAGATGTCACAGGTTAGTTACAGACAGTTGTTGTGAGAAAAGGTTGGAGGTGTCCAGAGGAAAGGAGGCTAAGAGACTTCATGTTAAAGAGACTCTTGGAGATTACTTACAACATTGAAAATGCAAAAGATAAAATGCTGGAAGCCATCCAAACTTCGAAAGAAGTATGACAATTTATCAAGGCATAGGAAAGATAAGTTACAGGATGAGAAAAAGGCAAGCACAATTTAAATTACTCTTGGTAAAGTTTTTAAAAGAAAATACTAATTCTCAATGTTTGTCATGTTTCAAATTACAGTGCACTAAATAGAAGTTTTACATTGAAAAAATTCTGTACATGTGTATAATTGTCAGTAAGGGAGTTTTCAGTTTTTTAACGAAAGCTTTTTAAAGTCGTAGAAGAACTCTACTTTTTCTCTTTGATTAATAAGATTACTTTGTACGACTCCAGCTTCCACGGTTGTTTTTATGGCCCTGGGCTATCATGCAACTAGGACTGTCTGTGCTCTAGGTTCCCAGTTCCTTGACCAACTCACATTCAAGGACCTTTTCATCTAGCACACATCGGGCATCTGCTCCTTGGTTCATCCTGTAGACCTTGTTAGCCTCAAGATCAGTATGACCTCTGAAATCTCAGTTTCGAGCAGGTTACTCTCATGCAGTGGTTTCCTGTGCTTCCAGCTCACCACCTGGCACACCCTGAAGACAGTCACTTTTCAGTTTTGTTGAACCCTCCCGCTCACTGACCTTCCTCGCTCTTTCACAGCTCTCTTGTTTTCTGCCTCAGATCTCATGGCCCATCTTTATAACTGCTGTACAGTCACTCCCTGACAAACACACTCCAAATTCCTTTGCCCCTCTTCTTCCTTTGGGAACACCCCTTCCCGAACAATTCCGAATCCCCTTGTCTGCTTTGTCCAAGCCTGAGTTCAAATAGCTGAACTTGACTGACTGGTTTCACTTTAAATTCACGACCACAAACCTCCAGTGGGCAAATACTTGGCATCCTAGAAGCTTTGTTTTCCTATCCCCACACCTCCTCTCTCCCCCAGTTTCCTATATTCCTCTCCTCTGCTCACCTTCAGCTTATGATCTCACCTCATACCTGATCAAGGAAAGAAGGAGTATCAGAGGAAAAATCCCTCAAGTTCCCGCCACCAGATCTCCAAAGCCACTTGCATCTGCAGCCAGTCTGGTTTCCGTCTGGTTACAATAAACGGACTGTGCTTCCTCCTATCAAAGGCTTATCCCAACGTCTGTGCTGCCTTCCATCCTTCTCATGGCAGGCACTTTCCAGCACCTATCTCCTCTCTCTCTTGCATCATGATTTTCCCATTCTACTGAGTCATCTTGTCAGCATGCAAACATGCTCTAGTGTCTTCTGTAGTAAAAACGACAGCAACCCACCTCTCCACCCACCCTCTTTCTCTATTACTCACACTTCTCTCTGTGCAGCACTCTGGTTCCAACTCCTAGCCTCCCATTCCTTCCCTAATCGACATCAATTTAGCTTCTGAAATCGCCACACCATTGAAACAGCTTGGGACAATAAAGATTGGTGGTTACTACCAAATTTCTAAATACAATGGACATTTTCCTGTCCTTATCTTACTCAACTTCTCAACTGACATGTTGATCAGTCCCCTGTTTGAGGCACTCTACCCTCTCAGCTCACAACACTTGATAGTTTTCTCCCTTCTTCTCTATTTCCGCCAGTATCTCTGGAATTCTTGAACTTGGGCATTTTTCTCACCTATATCTACATATGCTAAGTGACCTCATACAGTTTTGTGGCTTTTTTTCTTCACCACTCTATTGCCAGTGCTTTACTCAGGGCCTAACTTAATACATAGTAAGGTAGTATTTGATGAATGAGTGAATAAATGATTCCTTGTATTTTTATCACCTAACATAGTTCTTAGTTGGTTTCCATAAAATATTTGTGAAATAACTGAATGGACATTATTATTCTAATCCTGCAAATGAGGAAATGGAGGGTCAGAAAGATTAAATAATTTATCCACGATCACACAGCTAATAAGTGGCACAGCTGGTAGTCATTTGGTCTTAATTCCGAATCTTTGTTCTTGCCATTACATCAAACTGCCTCCCTGTATATTTCACTGCTAACTCCAAGAATCCACCTTCATTTACCCTATTCTCAAGCCACAATGGAATGACCTTTGCACTTGAATATGCCTCTTATTTTCCCACCTCTCAGTCTTTTTCAGGCTTGAACCCATATTTCCACTTCTAATTGCACATTTACAGGAAGTTG